GTGTATAGGGAGGAGGATGAATATTTACCAGTCGCATTCTTATTTTACCTCTCAACATCCTCTCTACGTCATCATTTTCTATCCCGCTCAATTTTGCTGAATGCAATAATATCCGGGACAAAAAGAAAAACGAGAAATGAGAGGATAAACAATTGTTACCATTATTTTGTTGCAAATTTTTGAGAACCTCAAGCATTTGCATCAGATTTCTGTGCGCCTCAATTGTTACCGCTGCTCTTTTTCACATCCCGCACCAACAAATCACTTGTTCGTGAAACAAACATACATACGTGAATATATTTTGCCTACACTATTGGGATAAACGGAAAAAAATATATTTGATGTCTTTATGTAAAATTGCTTAAACATGTTGGTCTCCGGGGATCCTTCAGCCACTTAAACCATCATCAACAACAACAATTCACAAGAAGCCAGAGATTCGTTTTCGCATATCGTAGGCGTACATTGGATGTCGAACATTATTTTTATCACACTATGCTATAAGATAACATAAGCAATGGTTATTCCTGTACTTTTATAATGCATGTGAAGTGGCGCCGTCTGACATTGTCTAACTAACTCCATCTCTGTGCGTGCTACACTTGGTTGCTTAGAGTGTCTTTGTGTATTAGCGTAAATTGCGAGTAAATGACTGCAGATGGAGCAACAAACCTTTTTCAATTTTTCTCAAGAAAAAAACCGTACAGCATTAAATACGTTAGCTAGAGGTTTCGATTTCAATATTGATCATCGTGAACTATTTTCTCATTTTCTGTTGCCAGCTCTGTTGCTTTTTGATGGAATATTGTAAGTTTCAATTTGAAACGATATTCAGTTGCTGCATTTCAGCAAATCTATTCTGGACACTTGAGTTTGGCTTCATAAGTATAAGATTAAGTTTCGTATACATTTTTTATTGTGCGAACAGATAAATTCCCCAAGTACGCGAGCGTGTCTGATATTTGAAAACGAATCTCTGCAAGAAGCTCACAAAAAAATAAGCAAAAAGAGAATAAATAAATAAAACGACTTGTCAAAAAGAAGGGACGAACAAAGAAATTATTTGTTTGAAATAGGGAAAAGGGAATAACGCGTTTATGCTTCACATAAATACTGAATGCAGGCGTAAAAAAAATGAAATATCATTATACATACAAATACATATTGTTACATTTTGTGGATGCTTTGTTGTTGCCGCTGATGCTGGTGTTGGTGCTCAAGAGCTTATCCCGTAATCAATGCTCACTGCTTGGTCCTTTCTTCATTGAAAACATAGCCAGATATAAAATGAAGCATGTATGCTTCGCATCGCTCTCGCAAATATACGCATCTTTTTGAAAATATTATTCGAGACACACAAATACAAATAGTACACACTTACGCTCACAACGAGATGAAAAAAAAATAAATAAAATAACATAAAAATCGTTTCTGTAACGCATCGCATATTTTTCAAGCAAAAGCTAAATAGTAGTAAAAGAAAAAAGGGCCGCTCGTTTCGCGGTGTGCCATTCACTTGCTCACGCTATATTTTTAATGCTTTACATTTATTTTGAATGAAAAGACACAATGAACATGAGCATTTTTATTTAGTTGGTTGTTGTCTTTTTTAGTTGCGTGTGCAACGTTGTGTTTTATGTGTTTCGACATAGTCATGCTGCTGTGCTTTTTACACAGAAACACACACACACACACACACACACACACACACATCCAAGTAAAATAAGAGAAGTGGGGATAAATGGTGGTTACGTTCGCTAGAGAACAGCCACTTTTTCCACGACGTTGAGTGTTGCTCCGTTTCAGGTATATCATTTTTAAAGCCAGGGTTATTGTCTACAACTTAATACATTGTGGGGGCTTTATGTCTATGCAATCATGAAATATGTGTATATGAGTTTGAGTGACTGCATGACGTATGGGCAGCAATAATAATATTTGTAGAATAAACACATTTACCACGAAAGATGTATTATGATTATGACAAGCATTGAATGATAATTTTTTTTCTAACGTTTCCATTTAAAAAAAAAAAAAATTCTTTCCACATCAGATGTGAACAGATGTGAGTTTGACGACCACGGCTGCCGATAGTTATGCTAAAAGTTGAATACAAATATCATATTTTTCATCGAACTTTCGCACAATGTGCATTTTTCTCTTTTGTAACACACAGCAATGTGTTTGTGCAAAATAAAAGACGATTTTAAATTGCCTACTTATGTGTGTGCTATTCATTGCTGGAAAACAATGAAGTGTCAAATATATGTTTATGTGACTGCATGTGTATGTGTGAGAGAGAGAGAGAAAATGCATTGAATTGCAAAATATGTGAAAACAAAAGCCATGCCCAAACTTTTACATTGGCACAGGCATTAGCCGGAATTTGACAGTTGAGAGCATTAGAGATAGAGCAAAAAAAAAATCTTTTATTTTATGAGAAATGTCAAAAACAAGCGAAAGAAAAGCGCACCCATACACATAATTCAATGCGAAAATAAGGCATTGTCATCGTTGTCAAAGTTTTATGCAACGCAAACGGAAGTGTTTTTTTTCTTTCAGGGCAAAATCAATTTTTTTTTTCACATTCTATTGTTCAAACAATTGATTTCCCATCGGCTAAAAATCGTGACACTATCTTTGGTTTCGCTTTTCACTTATGGGAGAGCGTTCAATTTTGAAGAAAAGATCAGCATCAGTGAAAAAAGTCACCGTCCGCATCATTTGATTCGAAATGCTCCAAGTTGTTAAAGGTGACATCAAATGAAAAGAAACACGTAAAATAAACTTTGCATTTCAAACCACGAAAAAAAAAATACATTCAAATAAGTGGAGTATGTAACGTATACACATAAAAAAGCCGGCTAAAGTTACGTGAACGATTGAACAGAAACAAAGAAAAAAAAAACGAGATAACTTGTGTATATGTGCAACCAACAAAGTAAAAAATCCGAGTTTATGGGCGAGTTTTTCTTGTGTTACCTTTTGCCATCAGCATAAGAATAACATCGTTATAAACAAATATGAGGTTTGAGTGTGCATTTTTTTTGCTTGCTTTCTTTTTCTCTCTTCATTTGCCCGTTTACTTTTATACTTCGCTGTCATTTTTTTCTCTCTTCTCCATCGTTTTTGGTGAAATGCTTTTGTATGAGACACTCATCGTCGTTATGTCTCAATTAAAATAACATGCACATAAAAACCATAATCTCCTGTTGAGTCTTCGCGCTGTTATTTGGTATTTGGCGAGGTAACAGAACGTGAGATGGAATGCACAAATAAGACCGAGTGTGTTTTTAAAGTATATCATAAAAGTGGATATAAGCTGGTATGGCGTGTTTGATTGTTCTGTGTACAGCAAGAGGGAGAAAGGAAACACACATAAGGGCGAGTGTGTTTGTACAACAGAGATAGAAATTGAACAAGAGTTTTCACAACCATACAAAAATCACGAGAAAAAAATCACCTTTTGCTCACACATTTTAACCAGATAGACATCGTCAAATCGCATCGTATGCAGATGAACGAAGAAATGACTTCTCGGTTGGTATGAACCACACGGCGAGGGTAAAAACTATTAAGCCGCGATAATGCCAACAGCATAGATTGTATCGCCCTTGATGCTAATGGAAATAAGCCTGACATTTGGCCCTTTCTCCTTTTCTTTCGACTGAGACGACGAAAAACTCTTGGCATTTTTGCCGCTTCATCTTTTCTATCTATCTATCTTTTTACGTATAGAGTGGTGTGTGTATTCTCCCTCACTTTTTTTCAATATTTTCCCTTGTTGTCGAACGGCTATTCGCAGATCCATCTCTCATCCATCGACTTTTGCTATCTCGTCGTTCATCACACATGTTGCGATGAGATTGGATGATAACGACAGCTTCAAAAAAAATATGAAAAAATACAGAAACGATTTTATTTAATCCACAATTTAAAGGCATCACTCGTCTCGTTATTTAATCTAATCGTATGTAGTTTGGAGCTGTCATTTTGTATACGCGTATTATCTTACCTCTAGTATTTGATGTTATTCTCTTTTTTTCCGATGTGACATTGAATTTGGCGCTTTTTTTCGCTCGCAATTTTACACCACTTGCACCATCATCGCATATTTTTGGTTAAATTGTGTGTTTGTATTTGGATCGTTGTTGAAAATAGCATCATAATAGAAAGAAAAAATCGACATTTAGATTGATACACGTAGAAAAGCGCATAAAGTGGGATGGAATTTACAACAGCGGAATTATGTGGATGGTCGATTTATGCGGAGGATTTTGTACAAACAACGACAGGAGAGATATTTGTATGTGTAATTTGTGCAATAGTTTGTATGCGGCTTTAACTTGAATGTTTCAACAAAAAAAAAAAAATCAACCGCTGTTGTCTCACGGTTATCATCGTCGTCATCAACAAGCGAAAATTTCCATAGTAATTCACTGCAAAATATACTACGAATAGAGGTACATATTAACTTTCTACTCTCGTTTTTCACGTTTCCAAAGCCATTACAAATCTCAAAGCCCATTTTAAGCACCAGCATATTATGCACAATACACACATGTATTCTCATATTCACAAGATGCGTTCGCATAAATTCACGCGAAATGATGATTCAACCATAGCGTTCAAATGTCGTTTTTGGTCCACGTTATAATAAAATGTTCACACCGAATCGGAAGTTACAAAAGACAAGCAGGATATATATGGAAATTATATCGATAAAATAGATAAATTATACGTTTGATTTGTCTTTGGCTAAAAATCACCTTATTCAATAATAATAAAAAAATGTTTCTTTCTTTTTGATACATCAAAACATGAATAATGGAACACCTGCAAAACATTTCGATTTACCGTAATACCAAATTATAGTATAAATGCATGATATTTTGTGTCGAATTGAGACAAATCTCCCACAACTACGTCTGATTGATTTGTTTTAGATTTTTCTATGTCGCTAACACTCTTTATCTATGTTTCTTTCTTTTCTCTGATAGGTTGCATGGATCCACATAGATCGACAAATGATATTGACGATTCATCGGCATGTGATTTCAAAAATACCACGATATAGCATCACTTATGACAACGCAAACACATGGCAACTGCATGTCAATCAGGCACAGCAAGACGATAGAGGTTATTACATGTGATCAAAAGCACAAACACAGTTCCAATGTCACTGTTTTTTTTTTTGTTTCAGGTTATTACATGTGTCAAGTAAGAACTACGACTACGTTTAAGTTAGTAAATTACTTCCGAATAGTGCTAATGTGCGGTTGACACGGGAACACCAGTGCACGCAAATTTCTTCTCCCTTCCACTGCCAAGCAAACAATGCCTCCGATCAACCAAACATTTTATCGATAGTGTAAATCTGTTGTATGATGTGATGTCTGTTCGATAATCGAAAATAAATGGTGCTCATAACGCATATGACGCCCTTTTTTTCACTAGCATATCGATATTTGTTATGTGTGTAAATATCGAAAATGGAAATGGTCATCATGCTTAATAACGCTTGAGCAAAGTGTTATCCAAAATCACTTAGCTTTGGATACGTGCCGATTTACATATTATATTATGTTATGTTTGTTTTTGAGCAGTCTATGTATTTCGGATGGATATCCATCCGAGATATTTTAGAACATCTGGATATTTAACGCAACTGGACAGAGCTAGAGCTGTGTGCGTCGCACATATAATCTACGGTATGTCACTACTAGTGTTGGGTAAAGATATTAGATAAGATAAGATGCCAGATAAGGTGATATCTTATATCTTATCTTATCTTTGACGAATATATCTCATCTTATCTAGATAACAAAGTTTTCTTTCGATATCTTGGTGGTATCTTTAGATCTTTTTAAGATGAAATTATCTAGATACTTAGAGTTATCTAGATACTTTTGAGTATCTAAAGTCCAAAATTTTTGTGATTTTTTCTGCGTAAAAATATCTTTGAAAGTATCTAAGATACACCCAAGATATTATCTTATCTTTGCGTTTTTTAAAGATAAGATATGGTATCTTACCTAGATAAATTTTTTGCAAAACTAAAAAAATCTCATCTTATCTGAGATACCAAAAATTTTACAATTACCCAACAGTCAGACTCACTACACGAAAAATACAGACACAGTGTGACTGTGTACGTGTGGAACTTGATACACATATACGTAGCGACATACCGTAGATACTATTTGCGACGCACACAGCTCTGGCTCTGTGCAGTTGCGTTAAATATCCAGATATTCCAAAATATCTCGGATGGATATCCATCCGAAATACACAGACTGTTTTTGAGTAGCATTCAGTCGCATAAGAGCGTTCATTGGCCTTCATATGGATTCAATCTGCATTTTTCACTTCTTCTGTATTTCGTTTCTTTCTATTACACTCAGGTCAACACAAATCCGATGATAAGTCAAGTAGGATATTTACAAGTTATTGGTAGGTATTTATTCCATTTTCCATTTTTGTCAAATATGATATTCATCCATAATTCCAGTCCATTTGATAGATTGTGGATGGTGCCATGTTGAATTGCTATACATTCAATCGAATCTTATCTTTATTCGTTTAGATGGCAAATGGCCCATTTATTTTTCTTTTTCCGTGCAAATATAAATCATTTGAAAGATGCCATTATTGTCATTTGTCGTTTCCGTTTCGGAACTAATGAAATCGCTCCTTCATGTTTTTTTCTTTTCACTCCCTTCTCGATAATATTGCAGTTCCTCCGAATATTTTGGACATTGAAAGCACTCCATCGTCGGTGGCTGTACGTGAAAATCAAAATATCAATATGACATGCCGAGCGGGTAAAATCAAACATCCAATTTTTTGACAATTTTGATAACAATTTTTCTAAATTAAAATGCGATGCAACTAGAGTGTTGTATTAACGATAACTTTTGATTATCATTTCGTTGTTTTTTTAACGGAAACAATACATAGAAACAAAATGGAATTGTCTAAATTAATTTTTATTCCTTTTTTTGCATTAGATGGCTTTCCTGCACCAAAAATCATTTGGAGACGGTCGGTATTTTATTTTGTCCCTGGAAATATTTAATTTTTCATTGTCAATTTTATACCATCATGGCATCACATATTTGTCTCTCGAATCAGCTTTTTATAAGTGCTCGTTTAATTAAAATCACAAATTCCAATAGAAAATGGTGAATATAAAATTATTAAATAAATGCCATAAAAAGCTTTTGTAAAATGGCTGCAAAAATATGTGATGCTTTGAACAACAAACAATTTATTAATTCTATACAAAATATTTTCTAATTTTGTTCGGACTTTTATTGTTTCAATTCATTCGCTCATACAATGTGGTTTAATAAAAAAAATTCTTACCCATATTTTGTTATTTAATAAACTCATCAGAGAGGATGGTGAATCAATAACAGTGGAACGGAAAAAGAAAGGAAAAACATCACGTTAGTATTATTGTGCTTGATTTTTCTTCGTTTTTTTTAGTTTTTGTATTTCCATGTATTGTGTGCCATGAATCATACATGTTAATCATTTGAAACAATGACACCATTGTTATGTCGGACATAAGAGATGTCTACGAACATTCATTTCGTCACGAATACGAACGAACACGAATGGGAGAAAACTTTCTACGAACGAATGCGAACGAACACGCCGTCTTCCTTAGCGAATACGAACGAACACGAATCGAAAAAATGTTTCTACGAACGAACAGTTTTTATACGAACGCGTTCGTAGACATCTCTATTATATCCAGCATACACAACGTCTGAGCTATTTTTATATCGCTATAGCAATAGCTGATATGAATAGTTAGCTCGACTTAATGTATGGCCATGATTAAATCAAACAGCAAGAGGGGAAAAAAGATGCTCAAATGAAGACATTGAAGTTTTCATCATTTTGAAATGTGTTTGTGTGCATGAGACCTTTTTGTCGAAATTTGTAAAGAATACAATAGTTTGGTGTAAATTCTATACTTTAATGAGTTTTTGGGGTCAATTGAGGTTGAATGATTTTTCATCATTGTCAGCATAATACGTTGCAAAGAATGGCCAATATTGTATTTATATCATTAATGAAATGAGAGAGAGAGAGGATCGCATGACACAGACACAATATATGTATAGTTGAGAATGAAAATGACTTAAGAGATCTCGTATCCCGCTCTTTTCTACATAAAATACCATATCGCAATTTCTATGGAGTTTTCAAAAAGTAACGGTAGAGTGTTTTTAGTAATGAGCTTCCAGATGTTGGAGACATTTTTTTCATTTTTTTTTTCGATGTCATATTTTTCCACGTGAAAACTTGGAATTCTACCATTCAGTACAACGAGGACTATTTGAGGGTCCGAAACCAATACGGTACTCACCATATGCGGGAATAGGAGATAACATTTCTTAAGTTATTTTTATTCTCAATTGCACACACATACTGTGGCCGGACACTAAATCATCCGACATTTGCTTAACTCGACTGATCAAAAAGAAAATCTTTGATTATAGAAAATTAAGCCATTCATTTCGAGACGAAACATTCTCATATGTTTGTGTATTTTATCCATTTGCAATGGCTCCCTGTGGGTTTCATGTGATTTCGGTATCATCAACCACGACATCACACGCAACAACAACAACAACAAAAAATGATGACGACAGCTGTGTACGATGGAGAAGTATTGCCGTTAACTAAAGTCAGCCGCAACGAAATGGGAGCATATCTATGTAATATATTTCAACAATAATGATTACAATTACTGTATTACTTATTGCGGTACATTTGTTTTTGTTTTCTTTGCAGGTATCGGTAAGAACAGTATAGCAAAATGTTGAAGCAATTGCATCTAATTTAGATGACCTAAACTATATTGCGCTATCATTTTTTGAACGAACGATGATGATACAAATATTTTATTGCATAAATATCGTTTTGTTTTTCTTTTTCTTTTCTGTAGCAACGAACGGAGGTATTTAATATCGTTTAATTATAAATTGATAAAAATAGCTTATTTTAATCTGTATTTTCACTTGCATACACAAACGACATGAAGTCCCGCCGAGCGTTTCCAAACGTATTACACTGGATGTTGAATGTAAGTGATTATATAAATTACAATTTCGTCTTGATTTTTATTACTTTTGTTTATTCGATTACCGTGAGGACTCTGAAGAGTGTGATTGGTCGGTGATTCGAGGCCAAAATGATTAAATAGAGCACCAACAAAAAGCATCATCAATAATGAACATTCTAATAAATATACGTAATTCGAATAACATACGGTGCACACCATTCACGTCTAGTGGCGAATATGTGTGTATTTGTGCACCAATCGAAACGAAATATTTTCTTAAATCATATTTTTGTTCTTCTCCCATTGTACTAATGTCATTTATGCCATTTTTTCATAGAGTGTTTTTTTTTCTCTTTCATTTTATTCACTTTTTCTCCATATTTCGGATATTCTTTCATCTGCAATGCTTGGTTATATCAATGTGATATCTGTATCATCTATGTGTTGCCGAAAACAAAAAAAACACGATGAACTGAACACCGAAAAAAAAAAACGACAACAAATTCAAACAAAAATTGTAATAACGACGTTTGGGTTCTCACGTATTTTCCGCGTTGCAACGGATGTTTCGAAATGTTATAACATGCGTGTAAACATACACATGCGATATGCGACCCAATCCAAAACGAATCACATACCCATAACAACAAAAACGCGCCTCGTCGAATCATCGACATTCTCTCTTAAACACACACACAACCAAATTCAAAAACGGACGACAATAACAACAACAATGACGACGATGACGACGACGACGACGATGAATGAACAGTTTCACCGATGATATTCGTTCCGAATCAGCTAGTGGGCGCGCCATCTGGAACTGATGTCACAATTGATTGTAACACAGAAGCACATCCAAAGTACATTAAAAATCCATTTTATATAATATTTTTTCAGCATTTTCTTTCACTGTAATATTATTGTGTCTGTGATTCTACAGACGACTACAAGTGCATGTTCGTGTTTGTGTCTGTGTGTATATTTGAAAATTATTCTTTTTTTTTCGCCTTTCATTTCCATAGATTTATTTGTTATTTTATTTCGTTGATTCAATTGCAACATTCGTTTGAATTCTTCCAATTTGTTGCTCGAATAAAGAAAATGAACAAACGACTGTATGCAACATAAACATTTTGATATAGACATTCATTCATTTAGTAGCGACATTAAAACCAGCAAAATTTTTGACTGTAAGATGCAATCGGAGCATAGCCAGTGTTGGAGCGAGAAAGAGCTTTCTTCTGCTGTGCGAAAAAAATGAAATACAAAATGAGAAATGGAGTAATGATGATGATGATCAAGAGAGAAAAGAGAAAATAAAAAAATAAATATGACTCAATTTAAAACTGTAAATTTATATGAGCTGAACAAATAAGTGTCAGACGAAAACGAAGCAGAAAAATGCTAACTAAATTACATGTGTATATCTGTGTGTACGAGTTCCGCTACAACAGAATACGAATACCGAATACAAACTTTATCGAAATTGCATGTTTTCAACATTGAGAGGAATGAAAAAAAGGGCCAAATGTATCATAAAAAAGCGTACACGAATTTGCTACGTCTGCTAAATGCATAGCATTTCGAATATTCCATATGATAGAAGAAAAACAACCTTCATGCAGTGATTTCTTGAGTTCAATATCATTTCGAATGATGAAACTTTCATATTTTTAAAATCGTGTGCTTTTCATTTTTCTTCGAAATCATACTTGAATTTCGTTTCACTTTGACATTGCGCTTTCCTTTTGTGTGCCCAACAACGATTCGGGGTTCGTTATTTTCCATCGCATATATCCATCGTTCGATTTGGCGAAATGGTCCTCGATCATTTCACCATAGCTACATTTAACGATACACATTGTCTCTTACTTATGATATAATAGATAGCATTCGCATACGCAGAAATATGAGCAATCATTTATGTGTCGTTGATACCATTGAATTTGTGTGAGTAAAAATGGGTGATCTGAACTATCACATAAAAAATTGCGACCAATTCTTTTTTTGCCTCATTTCTATGCTCACTTCACAGCAAAAATTTGAATGAAATACTATAATATTTCTACGTTTTCACACATTGTCGTTATGACTGTAAATTATGTATACATCAGTGGAACTCGAGACAAGGGAGATAGCTTCTTTTATATTGTTATGGTGCACACATTTGGTGTACGGTGTGGATATATTATTGATATTCAATATTCATAAAGAAAAAAGCATCAATTTCAACGCGCAACTATATAGAGACCATATTAGGGTATAACGAATCCAATTCATCGATATAGAAACGAAATTGGGTAAAATTAACTATAAAAGACAACAATAATGTTATGCATTGGCTTCACTTATTTACTCCACTTTTTATGATCGAAGAAAATATACTTAACATTTATAGCACACATACATTGTGTGAAATGTTTCTCTTGTTCGCCAGAAGAGAAGAGAAAAAAAAAACATTTAAAAGTAGTACGCGATAAATTGAACATTTAAAAATTTATTATTATTTGGAATTGATTCAACGGCATTTTTAAGATTTTCTACCACCATTGTGTATGAATAAAACGTATGTAAATCAATGAATAAGTATGTCGCACGTCAACAAAATCATGCATTCACATTACCATTTGTAAACAGGACGTTGTCAATATTTTAGCGGACAGAGGCTAAAATCTAATCAAATTAAAGCATTTAAAGAATTAAATCAGATAAGATACTTGAATATCGCATTTTTTCTTAATTACACAAATCTTGCCATTTCTTGAAATTCTCGAACAATAAGCATTCTTTACTGTGCAAAATGAAATGACAACCAGCTTCTTTCACTATCGAAATCAAATGCATATATCATTTTGATATGTAAATGCAAATACCATGTCATATGACCAGTGTGAGGGCCACAGTTGTTGCAGAATTTCTACGTTTTATTGCTTGAGTTATCGATTCGAGGTATGCGCTAAAGAGGGTGTTGTTTTCATCACCGATATTGGTCATATTTTAATCTATCGAAGCAAAATATGTATGTGATTTTGGAGGTGGCACAAGAGTATGAGAATTATTCAATTCTCTAAGTGCTTAAAATGCATCTAAAGCATTTCATTGTAATTGGTTTCGATTTTTTCTGTTCATCTCATCCAATGCACATTACTCTGATTCGTTTAACTGATACACGGAATAACGATATGTCAGAAAAAAAGCATCTGCGTTTGTAACCTGTACCAATGACACTTTACTACTGTGACTGCATATCGTCTTTCGTGTTTTTACTCCCATATTTTCTTTACCGCTTATTTTGTATTGTACACGTGAATGTGGTATTTTAGCATTTTAGTCGTTTTATATATATGTATGTTTTTTTAGCTTTATTATTTGAATCACACACCTTTGCCTACACAAAAAAATCCGTTTTTTTTGTTCATTGCGCTTTCTTTTCCAGAGCAATAATATATTGGGTTTATAATACTGTCATGGTGCTGCCGAGCAAAAAATACAAGATAGACTTCACGGAAAACTCCTACAGGTGAATAACACAAATGCCATTTCTTCTTTCTCTATTTTTTTACCCCGCATATAAATATATTTTATGCCTTCACATTTTTTTTGCTACCACTCGTTTCACACCTCTCTCATTTTCTATGTGTATGAGTGTCACTATGCTTCCTGCGGTGAAGCATTCTCTTCGAAGGGATTGTTTTTTTTTTCATTGGTTTTCTTCGCGAATTTCCTTATTGTCTACAAAGTGGTTTGAAAACAAATATATTTGTGTATGAGTTTACATAATTTTTTTGTCTCGCTGTCTATTTCTACGGGTTTTTGCTCTTTTTTCTTCGTTTTTCGACATCGCAACACAAATGGGATATAGAGAAAGAAAAAAACCGATATAAAGTGAACCGGGAATAAATGCGAGAAAGGATGACGACACACAAAAAACTAAAATAAAAATAAAATCAACACACATTTTACATTGAAATATCCGAGCGTTTTGTTGTGTGAAAATGCATGAAGGTATTTTTTAAAGTGGTTTCCAATGCTATTTCCACAGATTCTCTCCATGGAAATCCATCTCTCGAACTAACTATTGTATTCATTTCCGTTTCTTTTTTAAAATCAACTGCACACAATTTGAGTCCTTACAGCTTGTGGTGCAATGTTCTTCAAACACATTGGTTGAAAATCACATTGACATTTTTCTATTGGTAAAAATGAACGTTACATTCAGACGAATTTTAGATAATAGTTGTTAGAACGAAATGCAAATCTCATTTCAAATGTTAACTTGAAAGTGTCGCTTTTCTACGTGGCGACGATGAAGAAAAAAAAAACCACGAAGAGAGACGTATAGAGAATGGCTCGACAGCGGGAAAAATAAAGAAAAATAGAGACACCGAAATCAGTTGAGCATTTTCATCAGGTCCAACACAGTGGCAAACCACAAATATGTTTTGAGATTTGTATCACATTACTTTAAATTTGTTTGGCGTGTTGGCAATGCGTACGTTAAACCTTGTTATGTGCACGCAAATGTATCTGCTGAAATGCTTGAATGTCTCCGGGTTTCGTTTTTCTTCGAGCACCACATCGACACTGATTTAACAAAAGTACAGGTTCTTTTTTTTGTTCGTTGTTGATTTCGACAAGGGAAATTCTTTTAAAAATTACTAACGAAAAATTTCAATCAAGAAAACGATGGCATATTACAAATGTAACACCGGTTTTAGTAGTTGGATTTTCTTCGATGAACAATTCAATGTACTTTTCATCAGTTGTTATGTATCTACTGTCGACGATAAGACAAATACAAAGCTCGAGCAAAGTGTATAGAAAAGAGTTGTGCTCGTATAAATTTCCCAATGCTATTTCTCTCTTTCTAAAATATGAAAGAAAACGAAAAAAAAAGACGAGTAAAAGATCTTACTGTTATTCAATGGTTTGATACTTTCCCTCAATATACCGGAAAGCGTAGCAAAAAGTCGTATTGACGTTTATTGTTTGTTTGAATTTCATGCACTCTATATAGCATAAAATGTCTATATTTGAGATTATATAGCTTTTGCATCAACATGCATTCGAAACGAAACACAATGCAAGGGGTGAAAAAGAGAGTGAAATGCACATGCATAGTATTAATATTCATAAGGATGTGAACTTTGCATTGTTTGATGCAAAACTTGAGCGACGCTGTCGTACCATTCGTTCGGTCGTCGTTAGGACACATTAGTTTGCCGAAGAAACTCATCCGATTCGTATTATATATAACACACGAACCAGTTGATAATAAATTTTGAGATAGATTTTCACTTATCACTTCATTCATGTGGACACGTATATCGACTAATTCCATATTATTAACAACTTTGGTTTCACTGTATGCCCGCAGAATTCCCCCAGGAGCACATCATATTTGATAGTATATTTTTTTTCTAATGAATTTTCCATAACATGTGCCAAGCAAAGTTGCAGGCAGGAAGTTCGAGGAAAAAACAAACAACTATTATTATTATTATTATTATTATCGTTATGACATTTTCTCTAACATTTTTCTCTATTTCTCTTTGCTTACTTTACATTTCTCGGATTTTGTTCTCACGACAACATTGGAAATATGTGACGGCAACAAATAAAAAAAAATTAATTCGAATCTCAAACACAGAGCACACATGAAGCTCACAATAAGGAATTTGCAAGAAGGCGATTTCGGAAACTATAGATGGTAAGACGAACTTTTCCGCACGGTGGTAGATGCGTATTTTATTAAGCTAGCTCAAAATAATTTTTGTTCGATTTTTCAAGCATTTCCAAGAATTCTTTGGGTGAAACGGAGGGATCAATACGCGTCTATGGTAAGCGAATCACTATCCATGCTCTCAATATCTTGGGATGATGATTATTTGTTTAAAAGTTTTTCATCAAATTTTTCGTCATTCTTTCACATCATGTCGTTTTCTTTATCTACCTCATTTTTTCTGTCTTGCTTTTCTTTCCATCATACTGAATGCATTTTTTTTGCCATCATTTTTCTTTTATAGCAGTTTCAAATACTCTTCTTTTAATTTGTTCGCTTTGGATTCTATGAAACTAAGACGTGAATGGGTATATGATTGTGATGTGAAAGTAGCATGTGTGTGTGTGTGTGTTTGCATAGCATTTGTATAAAGACGCAAGCCGCTCAAATGAATCACAGGGCTATAAGCAAATAAATATACTGTATTCTGAACGACGACGATCAGAAAGTAAATTTTGTGCAATTTTTTTTTCTCAACTGAATGAAATCCGATGATATGAAGATGACGAATAAGAAACGATGACGACTCCATTCTTATGCATCTTATTATCGTTGGCTAAAAACACATCTGATGAACAGATATGTCGTCGTACGGACTGTGCAAACACAAAGGACACACCGAGAAAAGAGCACATTTCAAATAAATTTTGACATGAAGCCGTTACGAACATTGCACATTACGTTCCGTTTGCAAACGCAGAAAAAAATGAAACGACGTTGGTGTGAGAAAAAGATTATGCATAAATGTAATATGAAGAAGAAGAAGAAGAGGATTTCGCTTTCGTTACGAGGATTATTTGATTTTATTAGATAGAGAGAACGAAAAGTAGAGGAGAAACGGGAGAACGAAAGTTATGCTGTTTAATACATTCATTTTCTGTGCAATTTTCGCACCATAAAATGTTTAAAATTATTGACGCTCTATGTGACATGCGACAAGCGTAAAAATAAATTCGGAAAAAAGACCGTGATGTGAATTACTGTTTACTGGATACCGCACCTTCATTTCCGATTGTTTCATTGAATCCTGTATATGTACATATCAGACAGACAATCAAAATATATCGGTTTGAATTTTTTTTTTCATTCATCCATAAATTTCAAAATGAACAAGACATTTTAAGCTCAATTTAATAAATTATTTGTGGCAACCCCATTCTTCAAACATGCCAAATTCTATTTTCTTTGTATGTATTTCGTCTAGACCATAAACAATTGATTTGACATAAATAATGGCTGCCATGATTACCAAAATCAATGGTTTACGATTTATTTAATAATTATAGTAATAGATGCGTGTAACGAGTTTCCGAATCTCGCATAAATATACCACGAGTTCTGGGGAGTTGTTCAATCAAATCAGGAATCAATTCAATTGATTGAATCAAATAATCAGCAATGAAAAAAAAAGTCCAACTGTATCGTTTATAATTGGTTTGAAATGTGCCGACATTCATTCAATATTGAAAATGTGATTGAGAAATTATTCCTTAATCAGCAACCATCCGATGTGAAAATATACAGTTGTATAGAAATTGCAGAATAAATTGGGTAAATATTTACTCGAAGAGATCGATGTACACCGTGTTTGACACAGTAAACTTGTCTTGTTTATCTATATAAATACGAATTCTTGATAAGTTTCACTTCAATTGAAAGTTTCATTTTGGTATTATATGCACTTCCATCAAAGAAGATGTGTCGAATGAAAATGAGTCTCTTGCCTGCATGTACCCGCTGTGTGTATTGACAATTTTTTTTTTCACTACCATATTTTCTTGTAGAAAATTGAATTTTGCACATTTTCTTTACATATTGAATTTGCTATAAAAAGCTGAATTTGTTGGGTGCATTTTCTGTGTGACAAAGTTGTTGAACAACAAGTTTATTTATTGAATGAAATGAAAATCAATTAAACTTTTCTATCAATGCGGCATTTAAGTTGCCCGCTTGTATTCATGCTATTGAACAAAAATAACAACAATGCCATTTCATCTGCAAACATTAATGAAAGAACCAAACAATTTGTCGAAGCCTGCGGACTATCAGCGTTACGAGAAAGTGAACAAATTCTTTAGTTGGGTAAAAAATACCTAATTTCAACCATCTTCCATACATCTCTATATATCGCTTATTCGCACACATATCACTATCGAACAATCTAAAAATTAATTGGTCGGAAGTATTGAATTTAAACTTTTACACCAGTTTAATGCAAAATTGAACCACACTTTCGGGTTCACTTACAACAACTCTAATTCAAATATGTTACATTTTCCAATGAGATATTGAGAATGAATGTGCAAAAGTGTACTATATTTTGTTATCAAAGTGGTGTTTTTTTTTTTTTTTCAACGTAGTCGTCATTTTCATCTACCACGTTTACTTCTTTATTGGGTTTTAAAGTTCCAAATGACTTTGTGCATTCAAACATAACGCGCTGAAAATGGAATGACATTATGGTATAGCTAAAGTTTATGCTTATTTCACGCTTAAGAATTACGGATCGGACAAAAAGCTCAATTGGCATTGTTTTGACATTTCTCCTATACTCAATGAATTTAAAAAAAAATTCAAAAAACACCGAATCAGCATATTTTTCTGCATTTTCGTTTCAATGAAATCTATTGAACAATTCGGCACCGAGATTTTGGGCCATGAAATAAACTCATCTATCCTTATCAAATAAAATACTGCAGAAGATTATCCGAAAATTTTGCTTGATGCATAATCCAAATGAAAAATGGTAAATATTCAATGAAAATGTGGGAACGGTGGCATTAGTTGAGCCATACTATAAATTCGAAAGATGTGCAGCATGTGTGCGTGTATGTGTGCGTGTGAAAGAGTGTGTACGTTCGTTTGCATGTATGCATGAGATGTTGGCCTTTATTTTACATAATTGGATATTCATTTCATTTGGTATTGAGAGTTTCGGTCAAACGTATTAATCATTCATCGCATGTATCGTATTGAGATTGAGTTTATGCGCAAGGGAAAAATCACCATCATTCAAAATACGTGCAATTTTTCGAAACGTTAAAATTAGTTTGCAAAAGCTACCGATTTCCTTGCTCTTGTTCTCTCACTTTCTCTTTCTCGCTCTCTTCTTCATCGTTTCTACTTGCTTTTTCTTCTTCAATTCCATGTCGATTTTTTCACTCTCATCTATCCATTCAGTGGTTCAAACGGTTTTTTTTGAAGAGCAACGTGTACGCTGTACATGTTGTAAACTTCTCGAAATATCAGTATTTTGAATTAAACTTGGAACTGAGAGTGTGAAGTATATGTGGCATGGTGTGTGAGTTGAGTGAATGTTGTAAAAGTGAGGCAAAGAAATCGTACATTTATGTAGTTTATTCAATATATCGATAGTACTCGCACTTGCTGTGTCTATAACATTATGTGTGCCGTTCGTTTTTATATGTCTTCTATCTCTTTCGCTCCAACGCTCTGCATGTGTGTGTATCTTTTTTCTACATCGTCCGTTTCTCTAGTGGGCAAAGTTCCAAAGTATAGTGTAAAAATTTACAGCGAACATGTTGAACAGTCTCTTAAATAAAAATATGTTTGAATAAATCGCAAATGTACATGCATGGGCCATGTGAACGTTTTTCTCTCCCTCTGTGTATGTGTTTAATACTCTTTTTTTTGTCTCTCGTAGTCTATGTGGATCGTTCATTCTTTTCATATATTTTTCTATCTCTCTCATTCACTGTAAACCAATTTTCACAGAAATACCCTTACCGTCATCACCGTCCAAGCAACTAACCCATGTGATCAACGAACCGAAAGAAACAAGTAAGTGGCTACGCCGTACAAGTATAATATATTCAATATGTTCTACCCATTGCAATTTTACATAGCATCATAAATATCCATACGAAAACGAAATAGTCATATTTTGCATTGAAACACTTTTTATCTCTCTTTCTCAGTCATTCTCTTGATTTTTATTTTAAAACTTCTATCGAATCTTCATCTCTCTTCGATTTTCTTGTATTTATTTTCTTACTCGATATTTTGTTTGCTTCCCTTCATTCCAATTGGACTTGTGTATCATGCATATGGATTTTTGATTTCTCTGAATCGATAAAATTTCCGAATTGAAAAATATTTGAGCGCCGCATTCGCGGCACTAAAAAAAATAATATGTTATTTTTGCAACAGAGTTTTTGATCTTATCACTCTTTTTTTACCATTTTTCCTGTTGCAATAACACAAATCGAACTTTTGAATCTTCGAAATTTATCAGTTTTTCAAAATGACACAACAGCAAGACATGAATATCATGCATTATTGAAGAACGAAATCAGATTCTTTCAAAGGCACTAAAATCAATGTAGTCTCTTGCTGCTGCCGCTGTTGCTGGTGTCGCTCTTCCTTCTACCTTATGCGTGCTCTTCTTTTTATGCACCACTGTCATTGTGCTCATGTCGAAGCGCTCAATAGCCATTCCGCATACAAGCCAAACGTGTTCGAATAAAAAGCTTGTTGGATTGCAGAATGTACACGCTTCATAAAGCATAATTCACTTCTACAAGGCTGTATATTTTCTTCTTCGTTATTCCACTTATGTGTCTTCTTTTCTAATCTATGGGCGCTCGTGTGGCTGGCAAGCAATCTGACAGACGGCCAGCCATAGAGAAAAGAGAAAACAAGGTCTAAGAATAAGGAATTACCGGTCACAGGGGTTGACCATAACATTCCAAACATTGCCATTTAGTTCATGTTTGCCATTGCCTTGGTTTGTTATGTCAGAAAAAAAGAATATATGATGTTTTTATCCTATTTTGCGGATTTTCGCATATAATTTACTCATCGTGGTCCGTTTGTGCTGCTGCAACAGAAGCAACAACAGGCAACGCAGTCATCCGAAAATATTCTCTGAACAGTTTTCCTTCATTTTTTTTCGGCTGACTTTCTCTTTTCTTCTCTCTGTGCATTTGTTGAATGGTTCTATTCCGTCTTAAATAGTTGTATTCGAATAGAACATTTGACGTGAAATGTCTTTCGCAACGAAAAACGTTTGCCCTGTCGTACAGCTGTCTCGCCGTCACATTTACGATTTTTTTTTCCTGATTTAAACCAACGTATTTCACTACTCCTTGTGACTGACTACATAAAAAGACAAGATAAAGGAAAGATTATCGTTCCAAAAATACACAAAATATACTACATTGTCCCTGTTTCTTTCTTTTTCTTTCATATTTTCGTTTTGTTGTTTGTCGCTCTGCATTGTGTTTTTTTTTTGTTCTCGGTAAATTGCAATCATTGGACAGAGATTTTGCTCGTTTCCTCCTCATTTTATCAGCGTTTTTCATCAAAAGTAGCGCACAATAATATAAAACGTAATGATTTGTCTCATAAGAACATGATCGTTATGTGTACAGGAAAGAAAATGCTCTGGGAATTTTCCGTAATCGCTCTGGTTAACTTGTTTGTGTGTTTGATTTGTTTTGATTTTCGATTGTGGTTGATGCTTTAAGCTCACAACAATACATACTTGTTTGTCGGCTGCGACTTCAGCCAATAGCTATCCCTGTCTCTCTTTGGTTTTTTTTTTAAGGAAATGTGTGCATGGTTTTCCTTTTTCGTCTACTGCTACTCTTGGAAAAGTTTTATGAAAAAATTATGCCATGCATTTACCCAAATGAATAAAGAGAGAAGAGAGAAAGAAAGAGAAAGCAAACAAATTGTTATGAAACACGAGAGACTCTCGACAACTGAGTGAAAATCTCAATTGATGTTGCTGTTAAAACAATTGCTTATATATGTGTCAATGTATATTTCGCCGAAAACGAAAAAAAAAAACACAGTGCACACTTAAATATTATGCAAAATGTAGAAGCTTTTGTCATCGTCGAAAATGTAATGACTCCCAAAGTGATGGTTTCCGTTAAAAAAATCATTTCAATGCGAATTTTATTTTTCGGTTTTTAAAGAGCATAACGAAAAATGTTCTTTCATGGCATTTGATCAATTTGAAATGTAACTTGTGTAAAAATATAGATTTGGTGCTACGCAATGACACAACTCGAATTGTACAACCGGAGGTCATCTATCGTCCCGACACATTGGGTCAAACAAGCAGCAATACCATTTCTGGTTCGTCAAATGTCATCGATCGCAAAGGCACGGTTGCATTTGGCCAGAGTGTTTTCTACACAGATTATCCACCGCAAGACAATTCACTCAGTTCGGGTAAGTCATCGAAATATGTTCAACAATTAATCATATATTTCTTTTTAAATATATATATCAATAAATTCAATGATCGTTATATCAATCGAGTAATATGGATCGGAAACATTTGTAGAAAACTGATTTATTGATACATGAAATTAAAAACACTTTAAAATGGTTAAAATTTCATCAATTTCTCTTCCCTCCTTTCCCCACAGGAGCTTCCTTGCATGAATACGTGATAATTGGATGCGTTAAACTGCTATCGATACACTTACTGGGCAAGTACATGTTATTGTCATAAAACCATATACATTTCAAACACAAAACAACAAACTAAATTGTTAATCTTAAATTATGAACCAAAATGTACATATTTTCCCGGGAGACTAATGTATAAGTATGTATTTTTTGTGTATTCTCGGTTTTTTGAAGTTGGACCTATATGATATAAATACATATATATTTTGATAAGTTGTAAAAAGCTTTTTCTTATATAGTTACATAAAGAAAACCACACACAAACTCTTCGTTTCGCAAATACAATATTTCAGAGATTTTTTGTTTAAATTTTCATCGAAAAAGAAAAAATAATAAATATATATCGTACATTTTTATTCCCACAAAATGACCAAATCAAGCACACATTGGAAATCATAAAAGTATCTATAATCAAATGCATTTAAGATAGTGTCCAAAAACAATACAAGAACTATATTTGAAATGAATTATTTACATTGAGCAGTGTTCAGTAAATATAATTTCTTATCTATTTTAAAGATAAGATCTATATCTTTTATCTTATCTAGATTTTTTTAGAAAGCTAAAAATGTCTAATCATATGAAAAGAAAAATGTTTCTCTGCCGAGCAGTGATATTGAGTTAACTGGAAAGGGGTATCTATTTGGTACATTTTAATTTTTATGACATTTATTGAGTGTGTAATACACTGTGAATTGGTATTTTAAATATTCAAAAATAGAAATCAAAATTCAGTGTTCTGTGGTTGGATGCACAGCCAAGAAATATCAAAATATTGAAATGTACTAAATAGCTGGGTGTGACCAGTGGGTCATTTTGCGTCAGCTGAAGTCAGCTCAATATAATGTCTGCCTTACATTTAATAGGATAACCCCCTGGATTTAAAATCCAAATTGATATGTTCAGATTTAATGTCGTTCATATTCGTGTGTATCATAATAATAAAACGACTGTATCATTCAAATATTATATTGACTCCAATAAAAAAACGTGCAAAGCATTGAATGCACGTGACATGTGTTAATCGCGTATTTCGCCAGAAAAAATCATTCAAAATTCAAATATCAAATGAATAATTAGTAGAGTTAAACTTGATTGTGTTATCACAGCTGATGGCAGTACAGTGTCATATGCAGTTAAATCTTTTTTATTTACGTATTGCTAGTCATAAAAATTATTCAAAGCCATAAAAAATCATCCCACATTTCAATGAAATGAGGTGCAGGATTAATGAGTACATTCGTAACGAGATAAAACCAATTTAATGAACAAAAAAAAAACAGAAATTGGATGATTTTTAATAAATTTATTCATTGACATATAGTGTGACATTCAATTTCCGTTACTAATACTATCACGCACAAAAATGCAGTAATCGCTTTAACACAATCGGATATAATAAATATGCTTACGAATGTTTAAATGAAAAAGTTTAAATTATTTTTATGCTATGAAATGATAAAAATGTTCTATATATCAGTAAATCGTTTTTTTTTTCGTTTATTTTATGATTTAAAATGAACACATATACGTGCAGACACCGAGATAAACACAAAAATTCTAACTTATTTTTAAGAATTTAGATTTAGCTTGAAATGTGCTAGTTTTATTCATATCATCAGCTACCAGTTCCCGTTTGGTCCAAAATTTCAATCAATTTGCACACTTAAATCGCACCAAAATTGTATTACTATGTTAACGATAAATATAAAGAAAAAGAAAATGAATGACTAATGTAATTCCTAAAACTGATGATTTATAGACTAAAACGCAAAGCTAATGGACTAGCTTATTATCTATAGTTAATCATAAGTATTTCAAACGGATGAGTGAATATAATAAATATATTTGAGATTTGTACAATTTTATCCAATTTTGTGACGACTATTTCATTGTTATTTTCGGTCCGAAGGTTTGACGAGACATACTTTTTCCCATTTGACTATCGTTTTGAATGTATTTTTGAGACTGAAAATTCAATCAGCTTATATATGTCAAATGATGGTCAAAACCATCATCATTCTCGTCAATCAAACAGCCAAACCATATATAACATTTCGTTTACAAGGAACTTCTGAATGTAAAAAACAACTGTTTGAGAATATATTTAGAAAACAGTATAAAGGGATTTATTTATAGACCACTGAAAATCGTTAGGTGGTATTTAGTAAAAAAAAAGCTCACATCTAGTTTGTATTCGCTTTGTGTGAATCAAACGAACGATGATTTTCAATAGAATGTATAATATCTCATAAAAACACCGTAGAACGAAACAGATCACATCTTCCTAATATTAGTTGATTATTTTTCTACAGTAATAAAAGAGGCAAACATATGAACATACAGATAACAACGAATTATTAATTATCAGCGAAAAAATTCTGGTGCTCAAATTCATTGCAGTTTATTTGTGATTTAGTGTTTCTTTTCGGAATTTTTAGTTGTTTTTGTACAAATGTACATACGACATTAAACATGAATTTATATTTACAATACTTAAATTCTCTCTGAATGGTGAGCTCTTCAGCTCTGGAGGTGAGAGCATATCATTTATCCATAAAATATTCAGATCAAAGCACAACATTAACATGCTGCTGACATTTTTAATGTGAGATCCCATTGTTGCACTGCATTGAAATTTCAATATGACGGAATTGCCCACTTTTTTTTTCTTCAAAATTGAACAAAATCCGACAATCCTATTTCACTATACGACGATAATTTCATATGTCATGCTTAACAGTTGAAAATCTCCACAGTTGTTTTTCTCTGTCTTTTTGTGTTGTTTTGAATTATCGATTTGCTAAAAGCCATCTCTACCAGACAAACATGTTTAAAGTCATGCGTTTTAATCGAATTAGTAAAACGGTCGATTTCATCCGATTTTCAATTGTGAAAAGCAAGAATTTTAGCAATTATAAAAACAATGCTGAAACAAATTTACCAGTCACTTTCATCCAAGCAAATAGAAGATTCATTTCTCTTTTAACCATTCCATTCCGTATAATTGATCTTTATCAAACGACTATTGCAAGCTGATAGTGTACATTCTATTCATATAGCATTCCCGAGTGGAAAAAAAGTGACTAAGTTACTATTGACTGTAAGTGACTATAGTTAGCTATATTCATGAATTTTAAAATTTTGTATGGAAAACAATCGACTATAGTTACTCAGTCAGTCAGGCGATTATTTTGGGACGTTTCGACTATCGGGTGACTATGATTATTGTCAACTATAGTTAGCTGTTGCAGTTAACCATAGCTTACTTTAATTGATTGAAGTTAACTAAATTTAACTAAGGTTGCTTGTTTTTACAGTCAATAGTCAGTCAGTTTGTCCCAAAATAGTCAGTCACTTTTTTTGTACACGGGTTGGATATAGAAATGCTGTAAATTTGTTGCGTTTGCAATGTGATATCACGAACCATGTCCATATTGACCGATGAGAGTGACAGTTGCAGTATAGGAATGGATGATGTATCAAAAATTCAAATTCTTCAACTGTCAAGTGATAATCTATGTTTGTCTTTTTTTTTTCAAAATTATGGAAAATAATATTGCAAAAGTCTGTCTCTCCAAAAAAAAAGCTCGATAAATGTAAAAAAAAACGAAGCTGAAAACGGTAAAATGATTTGAATTGTAAAATTGTTTCACTAAAATTCACCTCGAATTGCAGGCGAACAATTTTGAGTATCTGTAAAACAATGTTTCTCATTTGATTACGCACAAAATGTCTGTCGCTAAATGTTATTGTTAATTATTTTTATTGTATTTACATATTACATCTCAATTTGTTGACTGAAAAAGTTATCCGTATGCACATAAAGAATGTACCATCGCAAAATGGAATGACAACACTTTTCAATGAGGACACAAGACTCAATTACAGTTTTTTTTATATATTATTTCATGTAACAGTGCCAATTAAGAGTTTTGTGTTTTGAACAAAAGTAATTTCCATTCATTTACATTGGATTCTCTTAAGATGAAGCGTTTCTGTTGCTGAAGGTTTTAATGATGTAAATGAACAACGATACAAAGCGATATAGAAGAAGAAAGGGATTAAAATAACTCGCCAGTCTTTCAAATGAACCCATTTGAATGGCATGCCAACCATAGATAATAAATGGTGGCAGCGGTAGAAACGTATTGGAATTTATATGCGAAGAGCAATACAATATGTAGATGCATGAACGTTGAATAGTTTAAAAGCCATGGATGCGCTCATTTTGCATATGAAAAAAAATGAAAGATATTGGTGATAGGCTAACAAAAGAGAAAAAATATCCATTATTTACAATAATTCATGAAGAGAAAAAGGGTGCATGAAAAAAAAAGAGGACAATACATCGTTGTATGTGCGATGCATAACAATCGTTTGATAAATAATTTATTTTGTTCAATACTCATTTGAATATTTTTCTAGAGTATGCCTCACATGCGAAAGATGCATTGTAACCGTGTTTGCAGATGTCTCATAAAATCAGTGACATCATTCACAATGTGTGTATTCACTGCAAAACTGTGAAATTATGTATTTGTACGCTGCTGATAAATATACGCGGTATATTTTATTAAATGAAAATATGTGCCCGATCATTGTGGAATATTATATGGAACAGCGTTAAGGAAATTGATAAAAAAATGTAGATAAAGAGTGTGTGTCATTCAAACACGCTACTGTTGTATTTTTTCCAATGAGCCAATTTATCAGAATAAAATGATGCACGTATGCTTATTTATACGTAAAACAGGTAATATAACAAACATTTTTCGAGTAAATTGACAAAATGCTCGACTTTTTTTTTATATATTTATCATTTCGATTTTCATTTCGACTTTGGCAATTTTATTTCAATAAAGTGGTACATTTATGTAATTTATTTTGTCAGTCAGCCATTCTCATTTCTCACTCTCTCTTCTCTCTTTACGAAATGATCTGAACGAAAAATGATAATACTGATTAAAGAATTGGCATATCGTGAACTTTGATGATGATTTGGTCAAAAGTATTTGCAATGTAATCAACAATGTTCAATTTTATTCATTAATGACTGCACACATGTTGATAAAACAAATGACTTGTGGACTGCAACTTGGAAAGAATGTCGGCAAAAATACACTTATGTTGGGAGTAGAACTATATGCGTGACTAAAAATCGACATCACGCCCAACTTATTGTAGTTCTCTACCGTCCAATTATGACAAAAGTGAGTGTACGGCCAATAATATTGTCGCCAAAGTCAAAACCAATACGGTAAACTTTTACTAAAATCCTGAAATATCATGATGAAATACCTACCATTCATGGTATACCATAAGAACAACAACAAGTGAAACACTATAAATATTTGCTAAAAATATACAGAGGAAAGAGATTGAGAAAGATTGTGTCTATGTGTGTATGTTTGTTTGTTGTGATAAATATAGTATGAACGAACAAACGAGTAAATTCGCGCACTCATGCTGCGTACGCGCTAAAAGTTTTCTTGAAGTGATTTTGAGTTCAGAACACATCAATGTGTAAAGACTTTGTAATACGAGCATTTCTTCATCTCATTTACTGATAGATGTACTTAGATTCTCGCACATTTCGATTAAGCTCTCAGAAATAGTACTATATTCGTTTTGCGCAAAAGTGCAGCAGCAAATAATTCCATTAGATCAAATACACAAATACAAACATAGACACGTCTCAATATGGTATAGTTTATCGTGTGTTAGTCCATTGAAACCATTAACTAAAAATCTTTGATGAACTAAAGTTGAACGGAAAAACTTTGCTCCTTTGGCACTTTGTGAAATAATTTGAAAACTTCCAAATAATGTTTCTTCATGCCATTCACAACGAACATCGAAAACATAAACAGAATTGACAGAAATGGTGGCGATGCAAACAAGAGTTCAAATACAACGAGCAAGAGATACTTACACTCTGCCACAGTGTCACTGCCATTGCCACAGCAAATCATGTAAATATTCAATTAACCTTCTCGATAATGCTTGAGATGTCACTACGAATATTGAATTTAAATGATGTTGCGTGGCACCACCTTCGTTTTTCATCTGTTCGATTTCGTTTCGATTCTGTCAGTTCCATTGGCAACCGGAAGGTAATTCAAAGCTTTATCAAACACGATTGCTGGCCAGTCGATTTCTTCGCAATGTATTTTCGTTTGGAACAATTTGTTGTTATTTTTGTTTTCGTTAACTCACACGAAAACTTTTGTCTCATATCCAGTGATGTTGGATATAAATTCGCTTTTTTTCGAAAATAAAATTTAATGCATCAACTTTCGCTCACACATATCTCATTCGTATGGTTCAGCTGTAATACGGTTTTTTAAAGCCAATATTGTAGTTTAAAAAGACTGCAAAAACTAAATGTTACTCCGAAAAAGAAACATGAGCGAAAAGAATGACACAGAGGAAACTTGGCATTTTGCACTTTACACAACGCATATTCAGAGTGTCATCGTACATTGTATGTACACTAGCATGCCATTTGATCTACAGCCATTCATCATTATAGACATCATACACTGCTTAACATAAAATGGAGCAGGAAACTCATTTAAAATTTTCTTCTTACTTTCTCTTTCGATGGTGTCTCGTTCATTACTCGAATTCATATCAAGAACGTTAATACATTACACATTTTGATTTTCACGATTATTTATGCTAATTGATAATCAAGTTTAATGCAAAATACACTGTGGAAAAATCGCATTTATAAATAAAAGAACGGCTATGGAGAATGTTCACACACAAATACATAGCATCGTGGATATAATCAACGTTTACTTAATGCAAATATGAACTAATTCAACCCAAAGAGATGACAACGGTGGCAACAGAGGCAAAAAAAAAACAACAAAAACTTTTCCCTTCATCCTCATTGTATGTGTCAGTAAGAGAGACAGAGACAGAGAATGAGATTTTATGTGATGCAAAGAATGTTTGTTCAGCTTTTAAAATTGCCAAGAAATCTTCATGTGACTGTCTAGAAAAAGTTTAATGCCAAGAAATATGCGTGCTTCACACACGCGATTCCCTTCAACCAAGCCTAAATAAAACTTTTTTCTTTTGAATTCGAGACATCGTAATTATTTCGTAGAATGTATAAAAAAGAATGCCAAGATGACATTATGTGAAGCGGATGTGTTGACTGCACATAAGAAAATTTCATTTTGCAAAGCTTAGCGGCGTTGAAAGAAAATGTTAAAAGTACTACACGCTCTCACCACATTTTGGTTCAGTTGCCTGATTTCACCGCGTGGTTTCGTATTGTTTTTGATAGAACCGTCAACGTGAACTGAATCGTGAGAATAAGGATAACACGGAAGTCTAGCGACGGAAGGCACATTGTATTTAGACACAGACCTCTTGTCGTAATCGTTCAAATATTGATCATCATTTTGTGATGGCATTAAACAGTGGTATTTGAGTTTTCACAAGAGTATATTGAAAATAAATCAATTTTCCCTCTTCCTTTTGCGGCCACCGAACGCGGTAATTTTATTCAAATGCTTGCAAACACGCAAATGGCGATGATGAAAGTCGCTTGTGAATGTGAAAAGATTTATGCAGTAATAAACACTTCCCACAAACACTTCCGGCACAACATTTTCCGCTGATTTATTTGATCAGTGTGTAAATTATTATTAAACAACAACCCTCATAACAGAAGAGGGAGAGAAAAAAGATCAACAATACGTATCATATTGACAAATGTATAAATATTATCCCTATTCATGTACGAAAACTGTACGTGTAACAGACGCAAATATTCCAAAACATATCTTTTCATTCAAAAGTCGTGTGTTCATGATCAATCTTTTCCTGATTGTATTTTTCAACCCATTTTTATTTTCAAAGTACAATTTTTGAAACAGATGGAAATAAGCAATATGTATTACTATATTAGAACATTCTCTTGGTTCATTTTATCGTAAGACGAACTATTTGAGCTATAATAAATAGGTAATAAAAATTTTGCATTTGAATATTTTCGAAAATTTATTTTTTAAATGAGAATATGCGAAGAAGAATATTGAATGAAAGAAAATTTGCTCAATTCAACATAATAACAATGAAATTGTGCACAAAAAAGTACAATGAATAGGTATAACTTTATAATAACAAGCTAAACAGAGACGATTGAAAGAAAAAAACATAAGAAATAATAGACAATTTATGAAAAATGCGTTTAATCTGTATATTGAAGACACGAACTAGAATCAACCGATCTTTTGTCTTTTCAATGTGAATTGTTAATATATAATGGATAGTGCAAAGCGAAAGGTGAATGACAAACTAAGCCAAAAGTTAGTACGAAAACGTGTAAAAGTCATTCTCTTTAAATATGATGTCACCGTGTTTTCTTCACTGTTTCCAAATGTAGCTGGGGATGTAAACCCACGTTTATAGATAATCATTGATTCTTCAGTTTTTTATTCTATAATTGAACTGAATCTATGCACACAAGCAACAACAAATCTAACAGAGAAGAAAAAGAAGAAGAAAAACAACAACTCTGCACAAAGTTGGCAAGTCATGGTAAAGATGCAAACGAAAAACGATGAAAAAAAGGGTCGCCATGACTTTTAAAACAATGTATTTAGCAATAATAACGAGATTTTAGGGGCAAAACCAAAAGTCTTAGGTGTGTGTTGTCCAATTTGGAAAAATGGTTTATTGAGCGCTTTAATGAAAACATAACATGCATTTAATGATGCTATATAGAAGGAGAGAGTGATAGGGAGAGCGATCAAAGTATCATCGAATCTAAACGAAATTAAAAAAAAGAAGCAAAAACACACCCACATAAACGCTATCGATATATAAATTTAAGCGAACAAATATTGATACGAATCTATATACATATTTATTAAGTGTATGTCACCAATTTCAAGTAGCACTAAATGGCATCCAAAAGAAAATTAACAACATCACTTTCATTAAATCCCTTCATCATACTTATAGAGACTATATATAGATAAATTAAAAATCGACAACCAAAACCAAAAAACCATGACAAGAAAATAACATAAACAAATCCAATATACTATTATTATTAACTAAATTAAGAAGTTACTGTGTGAAATTGGATCCATGTTAAGTATATTGCCACTCAAGATTTTGATATTGCTTTGGGCACGAAAACAATACACCGACATTTTTGGCCGAACAGCAATTTTCGGATTATTATTAGTATTTTGTTATACTTTTAGATATGGAATCATCTTTTAAATACTTAATACACATTACACAAACTTCTAATCTACAAAAAATTGTGAAAATAAATTGGAATCGAATCAAAGACCTCTTTAGTGGTATTATACAAAGTACAAATCGAAATCGATTTAAAATATGTTGTTGCAGCCATTATATCGACAATAACTTGGTCTTGAGTGACAGTATATTGTTTAAATTCTTCGATTATTTAATGCATTTCATGAAATGGATATTATAGTAATCTAGTGTATTTGTAACATCCGAAAACGGCTATTGGATATGTCACGTGTTAATAAGGGAAATCCAACTAAATAAAGCAAAACAATAACAAAATTCAAAAGCAGCAAACATTACCAATCGTGAAATCGCTATGACAAAACCACATACAACCGCCAAGAGTTTGAGTAAGATATCCATACATTATATACATATATAAAATACACAATGGATGATTTATCGACTTAATCTCGTAAACAAAATCGATATCACATCCTGGTTATCTTTGCTGCTTTTGTGCATAAAACCTTCTCTCACTCTCATTCAGTTACTTTATTATAAATGATAATAAAATAGTATTATTTTATGAGATCAATGCATGAATATTAAAGATTAAATAAAAACGAATTGATTCAACCTTTAATGCAAATACTTTTCTTTATTTGTTTGTTGTTCGTTGTTTTGACGAAGTTTTATCGTTTTGGTTCTCAATTTCCATCGACTGTTTCAACGATGCGGTAAGTGTAAGTGTGGTAAGTAACAAAGCTTTACTTTAAATATGTAATCGTATGTAGTTGTTTGTACTTATTGTAATAGATTATTGCATTTTCAATCAGAAGTAGAAAAACACTCAACAAAATGCCCAGCATCAATATATAATGTGCCGATTCAAGTGTACCGATGGAAACCTGCAAAAAGAAATGAAACCGTAGCACCACCATCTTTCATTTAACAACGACATTGAAAATTACACACAGGTGTATACCTCTAGGTCTTCCGGTTGTATTTGTCGAACGCATTGTGGCTTCGGCGAATGCCATCGTTTTCGCTCGTGGTACAATAGTCCATGCTCGAACGTACGTCTCAATCTGAATTTATGAAAAGTGTAGACAGAACATATTATGCTATATTATGGAGCACTTCTCGATATATTGTACAGATAAAGATAGTCTAAGTTTTCTTCATTAAATCGACATGAATTGAGTACAGGTGCTTGAAATTATCGAAAGCGATTATGAAGGTGACAATCATAACGTATCGCTTTCAATTAATTATTCGTAGTTCATGTAACATGGCCATAAGTTGTTTTATACTTATTTTTTTTTCTCTCTCTCTGTATTTTGCTCATCATATAATGAGTATGAACGTTGTCTACAATAATAATATTTGCATATTCATTCAACGCATAAAGGCCATCCAAGCGAATATCATGCTATCAACGAAATCGCAACATAAGCACGCTAACTTTGTCTATTTGTGCGTATGTGTATTTTACACTCTTTGCGTCTCTCTCTCTCTCTCTCTCTCTCTCTCTCTCTATACGGGGGTAGAACCCGTATTCGCACGATCGATGTGCCATGTATTGAGTGTCATATCGTAATATAATGCCTGCTACACGTACATGTCTTGACATAATCCTTTATTCAGTTCAAGTAGGATATTTTGTTGACATTTATTTAATAAAATGTTTTATTAACACTTCATATAGAAATCTAAGTAGAGATGCTATGAAAGAGAAAGATAATGTTGATAGCAAACGCACTTATGTTATTCAAAACCCACATGAATTTCAACAGCCAATTATACACGTTACATTTCACCAAACGACTAAATACACGCACAAACACTATGCACTCGCTTATTTTTACTTTTCTGCCCGCACGAAGTATGAAGGGAAAAGTATTGTAATGAAGCCTGAATTTGAAAAAATTCTCAAAATGGTCGGAGATGACCTTTCCTACGTTGGAGATGAAAAATTCTCAAACATTAGGCTCAATTTCATAGGCGCTATTTAATTCCTGTGCTGTGTGTAACACCGAGTAGGAATATCATAGCCTACTATTCTTTTGTACATTTGAATGTGAGTACGAGATAGTTGTAGAAAATAACGCACAACATGCATAAACGCATTAAAACGAGTTAAAAAGCGCCAATGAATAGCGGCTATGAAATAGCAGCCGCTATATCCATAGCTTAAACCTAAAGTCTGAAAATTCTGCTCCATGTTGTATCTTTTTTATCCACCAAAATTTAACTTTATTCTTAAAATCTCATAAAAATTAAAATATCCGACCATATCTGACAATATCTGTAAGTATTCAACCATATCCTAGTTTCTGGAAGTGGGCTTTTCGTGAGCCAGGGCATTGTCAAACCATAGTCTGGTCCATCCTGAGGATCCACCAAAGCCCACTTCCAGAACAATTATTAGATCAGAATATCTCACATATTTGTTAAAAATTGACATTTTGTACTTATATCTATTCAAATGCGCTAAAAAAGTTAAAATCTCTTCTTTATCTGCAATATTCAAAAGCGCGGTTACCCCCTATAGGGTACCAATTGATTATGGACCAAATTGGTCTTTTTTTCTTAAAGTTTGAAGAGCCAAATTTGTGTTGTCACAAAATAGGAAAGTACCAATTAGTTGGATAAGTCGTGTTAAAAGCTAAACGGCTTACAAAATAAACAATATTTTGTACATTTCAATTTTATGAGAACATTTCCCGTTAAGCCGCTTTTGATCATTTCCAATTTTGTGAAAACAACAATTTGATTATTGCGGGTATGTGGTAAACATGTGGACCTTTTTGTTAGCAGGATAAATTTTCAGAGAAAAGTAAATTAACCATGACCACTTGTTAATCATTAATCTTATTTTCTGACCAAAATTCATAATCTCACATTTTCGGTTGTTGGCTCAAAAATGAACATTTTGTATCGAAGATACCCCCAATTTCTTCAAACTATCTGAATCCATAGTGTCCATACAAAAATGCCAATTTTTGGGGATTTTACCTTTCCGCACACACCACATATTTTGAATTATTTATACGTCAATAGTCTATTCATTGGCCAACAAAACTTTACTGCTCTCAGAAATTAGAACTAATTCATATTCAATATTTTTCGGAAAATGAATATTCGTTCGGTGAAGAAGGAAATTTGGAAACAGTGCGGAAAAGTTAGACTTACGGATGTAAGTTCCTTTTTATTTGTATGTGTATTGTGACTGGAAAATGTTGTGTCATTAGTAATGGCTTGTCGGCTTATTACTACATCTTCATCCCGGAAATTAATAGCAAAATTACAAATTGTCCTCGGTACTTATGTATAAATTCACATTTCCGAGGTTTACAACACAGATTCCTATCTGTTTCATTTTATTTCAGCTAAAATAACATGCAGTCGTTATAGTATCTTCTCTTTTTTTTTTTTTTTTTAAACCAATACATTTTCGTTTTGATACATTCCATAGATTACTAACTTTATTCTCCCAGGCAGTCTGCACATCTCCAATATCTCTTTGTGTGTGCAATTCCAACAGATGCTTTTTTGAAAAAAGTAATCTACTCCAAGAATCATATCACATCACATCACACATACACGTTGAATTATAACTAATTTTGTGCGGCAACAAACCGGAAAATGAAATCTTGATTACGTAATACAGAATGTAATTGAATTATCAACACCTGATCTGTTTCTTTCCATTTTTGTTGAACATCCAAATCAAGTGATTGTTTCCATGGGTTTTCTTTCACAACTTTTGAAGTGAGACTTTGCTTTAGTTTTCACATTTTCGAGATGAAACTGTAGTTACGTTGCAACTAATTCAGATTTTAGTGCATTTATAATGAATTTGTAACATTCCATTCATTGAAAATCGCGCGGAAAATAAACATTTTTTAGTTAATACATTTGAAGTAGAATTGCTGACGATGTCAAATTGAAATAATAGCAACGCGTGAACACAGGCGCCAGCGAATTGATCATTATGCGTAACGTGATGTGTATGTTGATAAGAGCAAAGCATCGAGTAAGTGTTTCTACCCATAGAGGTGAACGCAAAGCAATCAAACTTACTTTTGTTTTATGTCCTTCTCTGTCCCTACCAATGCCTTTCATTCGATTATCGGTCCACTTTATAAATGGTATAAGTGAATTGAACAAAATCTTCGACTTGAAACCGGATATGAAATTTGCCCCGCTCTTAAGTTAAAATCCATTTTGGGAATTTGACAGTTGTATGACCACTTGAAATTGAATTGAAAATGGAACACAATGGCAACCATCAGAGAGTAGAGAGAGTAGAATGAAGGAAAAATTGTAACCCAAAATGCATGCGACGAAGTTTTACAAACGAATAACATCTCTGTAAAATAATAAAAACTTACTCATGTGTGATATCATATGATGAGAGCGCGCGCTGGTTTGAACTTTCAAATACATTTTCCAAGCATCAAGTGCTTTGAACAAAGTGCACACAATAAAATGGACTATATAACTTGACTCATCTATATCTCTGTGTGGGTTTTTTTTTTCTTGGTTTTTCTCGATAAAATAATAGTTTTTAAGCACTCGATAATAATACTTATTTTATATCCATTTACCCATATGTTATCATTTTTCTCAGCGGCGATCCTTTCTGAACAATGGCCATCATATGCTGTTCCGGGAATAGTTGAATTTCAGACAATTCACATATCGAGCGTTCCGAAAATTCGTCTATAATGATTTTGTAAAATGTTGCTGTATCAGCATGGAAGGCAAATCCTATCGAATCACACCGGATGTATGACGGTAATGGTGGTGGTGGTGAGAAACGATGAATACGCGATACCAAATGTGGATGTCGTATGTTGTTGAAGAACATGCAAGCACCAAGACCGATGAGCATGGTAGAGCCAAAGCAGAGTATTGCATTGGGTGTAAAAAAAAGTTAAATTATAAAAAAAGTACGCATACTGAATGGAAATGCTGTAAAGGCAAGTGAGAATATACCTATGAAAAACGTGTAACGGCATAGACTACTGAATTCGGCATAGAGTAAGTAAATTGATAACATGTAATTTGAACAAATTTTTGCCGTGAAAGCGAACGAGTCATCAGTAAAACATTTCACTATCAACCTAAATGTATATGTATACGCGCACTCAAACGAATTAAACTTTCTTTAAACATGGAGGCTACAATGAATTGCATAAAATGCAGCAAAATGCGAATAAGCCATTCACTATTTTGTACGAATGAAATGCTGTTTAAACGATTCATAATATGCACATTACAGACTCGAACAAATAAACGCATGCCATTATTTTGCTTCATAATTTAAAGAAGAAGAAAAAATCACACTTCAAATCATGTTATTTAGAATCTCTGCCGAAAGGGTATTCAAAGAATAACAGTAAAATTCGTTATATTTCAGTGAAAAAATGGATATGTGCACACAAGAGTGAAAGAAGAAGAGTAGAGAAAAAAAAATCGAGGAAGAACTTGTTGGAAGTGAGTCAATCGAATGTAAATATATGTATAGTGTAGGCACTTCGAAATAAACTTTGTAAAATTTAATTACGAAAAATATTCATGGTGATGGAAATAGAAAAACGCTATGAATACAAACTCATATTGTGCATTGGATGGTTGCCTTTTAAAATGCAAGACCGACTTTCCTTTCTATAGTTGACGACACCGTCGTTGTCGATGGCGAATTTCATAGTATGCCGCTGGGCCGTGTGTCTAATAAAATATGAATTTCTGCTCTTCGTTTGCTAAATGCATGCACAGCACATGTAAGCCCGTGGCTATGTATAAAAGGTGAATTATTACAGAAAACGCTTTTTCATACAACATTCAATGGTTCACAATTTCGATCGTCTACATGCATTAGATGCAAATTTGCGCGCTTTCGTACAATGCACAACCCTGCGAGAATGGAAAAACAGCAGATAACTAGAATTATACTATCTATATGAAACGAATTGAATGGAGATCACAACAATGCAAAAGTGAGATCAAACTATGTTTGGACAGACAAGAAAGATAAATTTAAGCACAGAAAATAAAATAAAATAAAATAAAAATTATGAAATTGAATTCTATAGTTTGGAATTCTCTTGCTCTGTCTCCCTCTCTCTCTTTCCACATATATCTTGTACTTTTCACGCTCGTTACACATAAGGGCTTAAAACTTTGCCGCTACTCAATTCATTCTACAGCAATACATAGATTCATTACAGTCAATTACGTTACCTCTCACCAATGACTTATAAATTTGGATGCGGCAGTACTACATCTACACATGAACATATCCACATAAAAAAATAGATTATTTAACACCATCTCAGCTTTCTCAGCTGATACAAAAACAATAACATGCAACAATAACTGAACTACTGCACTTCATTTAAAATTTCCAAACAAACCGAACCCCCCATTGCATAACATAACACAAAACATACAGACACAACATCTATATATGAACACATACACATGCTGAGTTACTATGCTTTCAATTTATTCTCATTTATGAGGAATCATTCCCAGTGCATTCGCCAAAACGGTTCTAATTTGTTCTGTAATTATTAGAACTGCCAAACTTATTTTTCGACCAAGATGCATTTGAACATCGCACCATTAACATGAATTTTCCAGTTCAATTCATTTTCAGTTGCACACTTTTCATGGAAAATATCTGATGCAATTCTTTTTCTTCTCAGCTTTTCTCTCCTTTTCGCAGTATTTCGTCCTCATTTCAATTTTCTACGGTTTCGATATATTTGCTAGTGTTAAATTGGTGTACGTAAACGTAAACCATCCAAATCTAAGACCACCCTCCCCTGTGTGTTAATCATGTGCAAACAATTATGGATGAATTAACCCAGCTTCAAAATTCAAACGTGAAACATATGCAATTCGAAGTGGCATGGTGCGCGCTATTTATTTGTGCGCATCGTGTATTATTTGAATACTTGTCGACTGCTGTCATTTCTTTAATGGCAGTGTTAAACATATTAAATTAATGCACAACATGGTCTTTTGTTTGTTCAAATGTCTTTAGCATATTTTGCAAAGCTCAAAATATCATCATTTCTCATTTGTTTAATATTTCATTCTCCTTCTATTATTATTTTTAAATTGCTCGCGACTCAGCGCCACTCCCCCCATCATATATCACATCGACCGAACAATATAAACGGATCCAAGAGAATAATTAAAATGTGAACGAAAAGGTTTCAGCATATCCACTGCCGTAATCATAAGATCGTGTGCTTCTTTGCGTCAATCCACTATGCTCACATTTAAATTTGCCTTTGCGTCTGTCAAATTGACGGTTTCCGTTAATGTTTTTATACGTTCAGATTTTGACGAAGAAAAGGAATTGAATTTTTAATCACTTGCGGTATGGACTAAAACTGTGTGCATTTCTTTTTGCCTCGCACTTTGTTTTGTTCTATTTGCGGTTAAATGAAGTAAAAACGTGGAACAACCAACTAACTAGTAAGGTATCCCATTTATTGAATTCATTTTATGTAATCTTTGGGATTTATATTTGTCAAACGAGTCTCAATTACTCGATCCCGTCTGTAGCCTACCTAAATCTATACCAATATAATTCCAAAATGTCATATCATTCATCATTTTATGCACCATCGAAGAATTATTGATGTATGGTAATCAGCAGTGACATTTTGAAACAATGTTAATTTTTTTATACTCTGATTTTGCTGGTTCACTCATTTGTAGAAATTTATTAGGCGAAATATTCCACGAAATTTTGAATCACATCATACATAGTGTAAGTTTTTAAATCATCGTCCGAGATACAAAAAAAACATGAGTATACCATGTTTGATAGTCACTGCATGAATAATTATAATTCGATTTATATCGATTTTTGGTATGTTTTTCGTTTGCGATTAATTAAGAGTCGAGAATAGAGCGAAAACATGTTATGTTCAGTCGTTTTGATCAAGTTCTATAACTGGAGCAAATGCTTTTATTGACTTTGCACAGGGACGTAACATTCAGGACCGCAAAAAGAAAGAAAATGATAAAAATGAAGAGAAATTTCTAAAATTTGGATTTTATGTGAGAGATCTTTCGTTGATGGGTTAAAAATGATCATATACTTCTCAGTCAAAAGTCACATTGTTACATTTTTAATATAGGTTGTAAATATGTTATGTGGTTTTGAAAAAAAAAAAGAAAAGATTTTTGATTTTCAAAAAAAGAAATCATTATGACCCAGCAATGTTACTAGCGCAATATAAGTGGTTACGGTGCTGGCTTTATTAGCAAATGGAAGCTTTAATCTAATACTGGCTCGTTATATCACGAGTATATGTACTATGCACATCATCATTTATCATACGTATGTTGTCCAATTTTACCCTTTTCCATTTGTATTTTACATCGCCACATTCAAATCTAGGCAACGCTATCACATTCGATCGTTGTCGCATCTGTAAATGCACAGAGTCCCGAAAAAAACTGAATCCCACAAAAACGAATTGTTGAAGTAAAAATCTGGGCTGGCAATCAATAAAATTTAAAAAAAAAAACGATCCGACATCCATGTCATGTCATGGTTATTTGAAATTGCTGGAAAACTAAATAAAATGTATTGAATAGTTGGAATATTCCGCGCATAAAATGGATAAATAACAACAATGAAAACCACTCTACGATGATTTGAAATGCGGGTACAGGGCGAAAAGAGACAAAATCATCCGAATAATATAAATAAAAATATTCTAGATATCTTTAAGCGTCTATGAATCCACATAAAAAAATGCCGCAGAATTGGATTTTTATTCGTTTTATTTTCTTCAATTTTATGTATGTTCCCATTTGCAAGATGTACAATGTGTTTCTTTTTCTTTTAAATCGAAAAGCACAACAGCAACATTTCTTGCAGTCAAAATGTAAACCAAACTGAATGCGACGATTTGTATGAAATAAGAAATGGAAAAATCTAAAGAAAACAATGCAAAACAACAATCATTACAACAAATTGTTAACATAAAGTGTGTGCTACATCAGAACATATGTTTCGATCTCTCATGTTCCAACCATTTCTCTTTTCGCAATTTCGATACAATGGCAATACAATGGCAACATGAAGCGAGCATTGGTTTGAAAGACGAACTATAAAAAACAGATAACCTTTCGAATTTCAAAATGTATAAATTATGCTGATGAGGTAATTTGAAATCTGACCTATATAAATGTCACTCAAACCGAACGGAAAATCAAAGGAAAACACACGAAAGGACAGAACAGCGGGCAACAACGATTCAGTACACAGCACGGCATCATTCAATTTCATCTTCAACTGGAACAATTATGAGGTCACCGGAAATAGCCACAATATTCACATTTCACATAGATTTGTAGTTAGCATGCATATTTAGTTCATTTGTAATGAAAAGTCGGTGTATGCCCTTTTGTGAATGCGATTAATAACTCTAAAATTTCAAATGATTTTCACCGAGTGACTTCGGTTCGATGGAATAATAAATTATTTATTCTCATTTCCATGTTTTACATAAAGCCGAGAATGAACGAGAAAGTGACAAAAAATACCGAAAAAGTATACAGGGTCTTGTTTCGGAAGCATAACATGTCTTAACGAGTTAAGACTATGGATTTAACTGCCAACGTTTCAGTTGTCACTAATCTATTGGAATTAATCCACATTTATAAATAAGTAGCTAGATAACTTACCTCCCTGTCTCACATAAAATAAACCATCCCTTGGTGGCATAAAATTGTAGGAAATGTCGCCAGTTTTTGGGTTGACAACTTTCACTTTTTTTTCGTATAATTCCAATGCTACTGCATCCGTTGTACGCTGATAACAGAGAAAAAGAGGAAAAACTGTCACAAAATCTCAAGGAAATCCATTAAATTATAACTGGTTTGTGCATCTGTAACAGTTTTCGTCAACGTGTTGTTATGTTATTGTGGACGTTTTCCTTTCGTACTAAGGAAAAAAGGTCAAATTTGTTGAATCTGATGTACAGAAAATGTGATGAAATGATTTTTCCAAATTTTTTATATGAATTGAAAGCTTGATTTTCTTCAAATGACCACATTCAAAATATTCCGATATAATAGTTCTAGTTATAGTGCAAGGAAAAAATGAATTGATTATATCACAGTAAATTGTTTCGTGCACATAACAGGTGGTCAATTGTCAATTTTATATCTGCAGGCGAATCGAGTGGACAACAGTCAATTATAATAATATGCGGTTTCAGCGTTTGGCATTCCATCGTTCTCTCTCCATATTTCATTTGGCTGCCCATTTCCATTTTTTGCGATTCAAACTATCTTTGTACAGTGACGGTATTCTAGCACATAATTCCGATCGGAATTATCATTTATCGGATTTATTGTGGAACAATGTATTCGATTGTTCGAGACTACAGCAAATAATTGAATCCATTCTTTCATATACAAAACGATAATTCCGATCGGAATTATTTGGATAGAATACCACCACAGATTGTGCTTTTTGGAAAGTTTTAACCTACCCTAACCTCGAAAATGAATGAAATAGCATTTATTTGAACTGTATCTAAAGTGATAACGTGATATTCGGTTGGCATATGCATGTATGTGCGCATATTGCCTCGAGAATTATTTATAAAAGGCGACAAATGTTGTTGCCAAAGCGAAGCACATTGTCATTATTTTTTGCTATTGAATGAATGGTAAACGTGTTCATAAACTGACGAAAATCCAAATATCTGAATTTATCTTCGGCATTTTTTCTCTCTTCTTCTATTTATCCATTTTTGGATTCATTTTTTTTGCCCCCTCTCCTTTTTGGTGGATTTTCTCTCTCTCTCTCTCTTTGTGTGTGTGTGTGTGTGTGTTTGTTTTTCGCAAAAACAAATCGGTTAGTTTCTGTTTGCATTTCCATCAGCCGTAAGCTATAAAAAGTTATCCGAATTAAAAGAGACAATAGAATCTGAATCACAATTATGTCAACAAGTTGTACAAATGATTTTTGCTACGTTTCTTGTGTCTCTTTCTTCCCTTCAATTTTGAGTGGTGACGCAGTTGGTAAATGAGAGGGGGCACACTGTTTTTGTGTTCGATTATTCAAAAGTCTGAAGAGATTTTATATATGCACATTTTGATTCATTTAAGCTTGGCAAACTCATTTAAAATTGTCGTGGCGTTTTTTCCCCTGCGCAGCATAAACAAGACACTAGATGCAAATTACGGAAACATGTACAAAGACTTGATTATCTGGAATGTCTTTCACTTCTCTCTCTCGCTCTCTACCCCTCTTCATTTCACTCGTCATCTTTTCCGCTTCCTTTAGCTGTCTCGTTCTCGGTCGAATACAGACACAAATTATGCTGGATTTGTTTGATCAAAAGCAGGTGTATTCGTGTAGGTTTGCGCGTAAATTATTTATATGTATTTAAGAGAGAATGCTTCGATGTACAGTACTTACTTTGAAAAAGTCCTTGTTGTAAACTATATCTTCAATTCCCAACTTCAATGGGCTGTCAATCAGATTCCGTAATGTTTTAATGGTTTTTGGCTTTTCCATTAGCAACGACCCAACAATGCTAGCCGAATAAAATTGAAACGTACAGAAACCGAACAACAGAATCAGCATAATGATGCATCGTCGCGATGTGAATTGTGGCATCTCTGCAGAGCCTGACAACGTTCAAGATGTTATAATCATGAAGACAGAAGAAAAACAAAACGGTGAAAAAGAGAAAAAAAAATTTGTAATAAATGGAAATCGAAGAAGAGAAAATGAAAGCGTGCAAAGACATCATTTCAACAAAGCACAAAATATCTATTCATAAAATATTGAATATTATCAATATTTAAATCTATATATTTATGTATATTTATTGAGAGCAAATGTTTGCGGTCGGACGTGGTTGCGGTTTTTCTTTGGATGTTATATGTTGTGGGTAACAAGGGAAATACATGATGAATGTAATTACTCAATCTTATGCAAATGTCTAATTTATGAATGCCAAATCAAATCAACCATATTCATTTTAATTTAGATTCAATGTCCAGTCAACGAATTCCTATCGGAGATTTTGGAATTTCTTTAGCTCGATATTGAATTTGAATTTTCAACGATTCATTGTTCTCTATTTTTGCAATCGAGCGAGAGAGGGAGAGAGGGCCAACGACCACCACATAAGTAATGTATTTCAACACGTGCATTCACATTTTCATTTCTCCGATGAATAAAAGTGAACGAGCAATGAATACAACTGAAGCAGAAACAGAGAAAAACGAAAATTATATCCATTTTATTTGTAAAATTGGCAATTTCTGTTTGGTTAAAATCCAATCACTTGCGATCTACTATATGGATCGAATATATTGTCAAACGACCGAGACCGACATTCACGTGCAATCATGACTACCATTTTCATTCTTTTATTCATTTCACTTCTTTTTTCGGGTGGCTACATCCAATTCGATTTTCTTCATATTGTTTTTTTTTTCGTCGGTCTCTCACTCTCGCTCGCTCCTATCTTCATCGTTTGTTTCGATTTCGCGCCCGTTCATTTTTATTAATATTTGATTAAGACGTTAATGGAAAATAATTTGTCAGCGTTGATGCAAAGGTGTCGATGCTACAAATAGAACTGTGTGTACGAACTGTGTTTTCTTCTTTTTTTATTCGTTCCCTATTTTTTCTTCTTATTATTTTGTTATTGAAAATGGACATTTGTCAAAAAAGAAAATGTAACAGACACCATTCCGCATCTCCCTCAATGACATACAAACCGTACAATAATAACAATAAACAAAAAATAGCAAATATACAAGATGGATACAAATCTTGTTGTCGTTTCCATTTATATTTTATTATGACTTTTTTGTGTGTATTTCTTCGTAGCTCATTTTTCAATAATGGAAAAATATTATATACATATTGAATGGATTCGAAGATTTCCAATATCAACTATTCAATATTTATATTTATTTCACATTCGTTTGATAAATTTAAATTCACGTGCGACGGAAAAAAAAGCAGAAATGTAAACCATCGAATAGAATGTATTGTAGTGAATGTGGCTCCATTCCCGTGGAATGAATGAAAAGAAGAAGAAGAAAAAATGTCGAGTTAGAGTAATAAGATGAATGCCAAACGGTGAAGAACCTACACATAAACACACTGAATGTGACATGAGCACGATACATGGCATCGATGTGAACCGCACATTCGATCAAAATGTAATTGTGTGAAAATGATTCTGTAACGGTGATATTGTCCTCCTTTACACATCGAATATCTTTCCATAACAATTTCTCTTTCATTCACTTACGACTTCAAATAACAAACGAAAAAAAAAAATTCGAAAACTTTTCACACCGATTAGAATGGTATTGCATAGAGTGCACTATTTTGTGTTTTTGAAAATGTTTGACTTCTGTCTGAATTGAATAGTAGACAAGATTTGTGTAATTTGCACACCGTATCACCGTACGACGAGCGAAAAATTGTGTTTTTATTCAGGGATGTATATGAATAAAAAGATTACTCGAAAGAAGTTTGAAAAATGCAACATTTACCTTGTTGACACAGCGCACCAATGAACAGCAATGTGCAACGTGAAAGTGCGCTTTCGTCATATTCGACATCGATGTTATCGAATGTTTTTGTTGGTTTGCTATTGACATTGCCGTGTTTATATCGTACTGTAATGTTGTGACCTCGATCAACAGCAGCATCTGCAACTGCATCACCACTTGTAAATCCATTTTCATCGTTCTTTGCTCCCAAATAGTATTCATAAACGTTTAAACGGAAATTTTCGTGATTGATTTTTTTATGCGAACGCTTTCCATTCATCGTCTGCTGCACCTTTGTCAACTCTGCTAGATGCACGCTCTTCTGGTTCTGGAATAATCATGACGATTGCAATGAGAGCATATAAAGAGGCATTCAGAATGAGAGATAATAAAAATATGCGTTTTTTTTAGTTTTTCTTCCTCTTTGTCATTCGTATTTTTTTTGTGTCTAGATGCGCTACATTTTCTTTGATACTTTCATTTTATCATGTTCTGGCACAGAGGGAGATGCAAAACGATCTTCTTCCTGCTTCAAATCTAATGAAATTTTCCAGCGCAATAGCAACAGTAACAAATACAAAGCGAACACAAAATACATATGAAGCAACAGCACACACCAAATAAACTAGATGGTTTGATAGTAAAGCTTAATGCAGCTTGAATAATCGTCATAATTAAGGGTCTCTATTTCGAAAGAAGCAGCTCATTTAATTCGCTTGATGGTGTTGAATTTATGTAACATTCTGTTGCAATGAATTCAAATCGTCTTCATTTTATTTTGCGTTTTTTTTTTTTGCTTGGAATTCGAGATTTGTTTCTCTCTCTCTCTAGCTTCAGAAATTGCGACAGTGAAAACTTTAAAGAAATTGGCATTGAAAATTTCAGTTATACACAGTTTATCCTCAATGAAAAGATTCGAAACATTCAATTTTTTTGCCCCGACACCGATACAAAAAAAAAAGTTGAAGAGAAAATGTGTGAAAGAATTGTCGTGCATCTCTCAAATAATGATTGTGAAACGGTAGTCGAGGCACGTGCACACTGTTTCACATCGAGCGAAATGAAGAAAATTGCGACAAAAAGTTACAACAGCAACAACTCATTCTATCTCTATCTCCTCACTCGAAAAGACTAAAGAAAATATTTTCATTTCGATCAGAAAGTTTTGATTTATTTGCTTTTGTAATATGTGTCGCTGGTTCGCAGTTTCAGAGCGTGCACGAATGTGCAAGAATATGAAGCGAACGCTGAGTGTTGAAAACTGTCTGCGAATTGCTGTTCATAAAGTCGAACCACCACACAGCTCAAGCTCAATGTATGCTCTAAGGCAATGTTTTCAATGTTTCTACTTTGGCACAATATTCACCGACTAACAATCTCGAATTTTAGCGAGTATTTATACTGTACTTTTTTTTGTTTCATCTTGTTGTTCGTTGCTTCTCTGCATTCATTTTCCGTTTTGCTTTCGCCATTCTCTCTCTCTCTGTGTGTGTGTCGCTCTCTACTTTTCTTTCTTCATGTCTTTTTGTTACTGTGTATCTTTTGTTTTTGTTGTTATTACTTGACAATGTTTTCTTCTTCATTTTCAGCATAAACGACTTACCACCGACACCGGCGAGCATCGTGTTGAAAAAAAGCATTTACGAAAAACTTTTGCGCAAATCCCAATAACGACATTTTCATTTTTTTCTTCATCAACATTTTCTCCTGAAATTATATGTGTCGGTATTTGTTGATCGCAACGTAGCTGTGTTTCCGGTTCGGTCATTGATGCTTCATGCTGTTTTAACTGGACTGTATTTAACATGCTGTCACTTGTTTGATGTCGTCTGCGTATCTGTTGTTGACTTTGCATTGCACCATCGTTTCGTTTCAATTTCCTTGATCGATTCATCGTCGTCGTCATTTTCGATTCTACTTTCATCGTTGCTCCTGAAACGATTTGTCAATGAATGATTGCCACTGAATACTTTTTTTATACTGTAATTTTGTATTATTGACACACACACAATAATATTTGATATATCAAGTACGTAATGCGATACATAAAAAAGATGAGAACAACCATAAGGCAATGAAGCTGATGAAAGGAAAAAAGGAATACCTGGGAAATACTGTTTATGCATGTGACGTATAAATTGACAAATCGAATTTTACCTGAGATTCTCTTTTCTCGTTTCGAGATGAACGACGTTGCGCCAATTACAACAATACCAACGATTATGATGCAGTACCATACATTAACGGTGAATGGCTGCAAGAAAACATTACGAACCAAACCTGTTGGATGTCGGAACACGAAGCATGGCCTAAATATACATATAGAAGCATTATAATTGCAAGTAAATTGAGAAAAACGAAACAAACTTAAAAATAGGAACACCCTTCATTACATCCCGGTCCATAGTGTAAAAATGACAGAGTAAACATGAGCTGATGAATTGTTGAGGAATTGTGTAAACAAATCTTGATTGGGTCATTAAAAGAATCTTTGCATTTTTAATTAAATTTTCATTTTTCTATGGCTAACGAATTTCGAAATGATGCACAAATAATTTTTGCCATTTAACATTTTTGTACAGCGACAAATAGCATTTTATGTTGGAATAAATTGAAAGGCATACCACAAATCGTGGTGGAATGATAGAAAAGCCAGAATACAAATATAAACGCAACGGGGAGTAATGGCAGCAGCAAAAAAATTATACCGATTTTGGTCGTTTATTTTTTTTTTCTTCTTCTTTACCTACCGTGATATCCACGTACGTGCCGTGTAATCGATAACCTTAGCACGTTCAGATCGGAAAAATATTGGCGATGCTCCGACATCAACAGAACCTCGAACCAATGCACCGATCATGCCATCAAATGTTCCATTTTTTAAATAGCCCCATGAATTGGTTCTATATACCTTGATTCTATGCAGTGAATGAAAGAATGAAAAAGATTCGTTGAAACAAAAAAAAAAACATGAGAGAAAAAAATTGTCCGAAAACCAAGAATGATTGTGGAGATTAACCAAAAGTACAGACCAAATCAGAGAATATACAAAAAAAAACAATCTTCAGTAATATTACGTGGAATCAAATGGATTTGAAGCATAGTAGAAGGCAGCAGCGACAGCAAGAATGAATGGCGAACAAAAAGAGTGCAAAGCATGCAAAAACGGCTGGTAGCATTGAGACCAGGATGGACAAAAGGCGAAATAAGATGTGCTGAAGGTGGTCTATATATATATATATACAGGAATGGTACACCAGAAATTTACAACAAATCACGTTCGTCGGTGAATAAATGCTTGCGCTCACTTGCTCCGACAAACGCGCACACATTTCGCAATCATTCAATGCGAAAAAGTACGGTTTTAACGAAAGGTTGAGAGCAAGAGAGATGGAGAGAGAAGAGATCACGGGCGCGAAAACTCAACGAATATGTTGAAAGTTGATTGGAACGAATCTCGATACAAAAAGCATAAAACAAGAATATGAAAATCAAACAATGGAATTCTGGCAAAAACTTTTAAACCGTTCCAATTTCCGCTTTTATTTCGTCATTTTTCAATTATACTATATCTATTGCCAACTTCAAATTTCTGCTTTGTATTTGACGCTATTGTTTACATTTCCATAAAATTATAATAATTGGATTTTGCAGCGATTTTCAGTTGTTCGCAAAAATTTGTTCTCTGGCCTGTTCTGTTTTTTCTGTTTTCTGCAGGTGAGTCAGTAAATGTGAGACAATTTTGATTAACTTTCAGTGGGGTTTGAAACACTTCGATTTTCGATTGTCGGTTTTTTTCTCTATTACTTAAAAAGTAGTTTTGCTGTCGCTTTGCTCTGGTAAACTATAAATCCAGTTCAATACTTTGGAAAACTGGGGCAATTGCAACCTTAATGCAACCGTACATTGTCCAAATGACATAGTGCATTACACAAGAGATTACCAATAAAAAGGAAGATAGATTGAAACTAGAAATAAAAAGTTAAGAGACTGGATCATTTGGTGGTGGTGTTAACAAAAGAGTCGAACATCACATCAAAATGAAGAGCAATATCACCGCAAAAGGTGTTGCTACACGATAAATAACTTACTCGAACTTTATCTCACTTTAATATTTCTAGTCGTTTGTTATTTTGTTTCCATGATGTAGAACGGAAGTTCGACAACTGACACTCCCGGTTAACTGTGAGAATCCAAATTTTGTGTCACGCCTAAATATGAGTTCTGGAAATCTTTTTCATTAAACTTTAACCCAGATAGGTCAAATATCACCGGGAAGCTCATAGAAACACTGAGCAAAATAGGTTTTTAAAATCATTTTTTTTTCAAATCCCTAGTCAAAATCTTAGTGGGTCCTTGGGAAAAAAATTAAGAGGAGATTAGATCTAGGATTAGATAATAAACCAAAAACTACTTAAATACCAATGGTATTATACCATACTTAAAATGGAGTTTAGTCTCCCGAATCGATAATCATGCTTACATGAATGGTGCAACAAAAACCCGAAGGAATTTGAAATGATATCGATATTTGTTGGATTTTAGTTGGGCCTCCCCAAAACAAGTATGAGTTTTTAACTGAAAAAACCATAAACTCATTATTATTTATTGAAAGAGCCTAAAAAATCATGAAACCTGGCTAAATGAGATTTTTTCTATTCTGGCACGACTTTAATGGCATCGATCAAAAAGAGAGAACTTCGTTACGTTGCGTTTGGAGTTTGAAAAGAATTATTATTCCTTACCTAAAATTGAACATGTCTCGGACATACGTGAGTAAGCGATAGTTAAATCGATTCATCGAATCTAGATGCGGATTGTGTGTGTGATCCAAGTATTCTTCAAATGTTTCATTGAAAGGATTCGTTACCTGTAAAATCAATTAGTTAAAAACAGAAGAAAAAAGAATGTATAGCTACATAACTATAACAAAATTGCTGCAAAACACAAAATTATCGTTAATGGCAAACTGAGGTTCGTATTGGCAAACGTTTTTTTAATTCTTTGTGTCTAAATGTAGTCTGATGGGAAGTACGTGCTTATATGTTTTTTTTTGCATTCATTTTTTAATACTAACCACAGCCATGGCGCGTATTTTAATGCCATGCACATTCAAGCGCCGTATGATGGTCGTCTCTTTAAAAGAAATATTTAAAAACTGTTCATCAGCTGAATATGTGCCCATGTGGCTGACATTCAGTTTTCCGCCGTAAATATTTCCTGGATTCCTATTGATGCATGTGCTCACAAGTTGTGTGCGAGCGTGAAATCCGATCACAGATAGAGAGAAAAGAACAATTAATATTGAAAAATAAAACAGACAATACTTCAAACTATCGTATATAAAGTGGAAACACATATGCCAACAATCATTCACACATTTTCCAGAAATTTTCGATAGCAAAAGTTGTGATTTTTCGCTTTTCATACTCATTACAAACAACTAAACAAGCAGTTAGTTTTTTTTTGTGCCATGAAAAATCGCTGCAAGCGGAATCGGAAGCGTTAAATCTCGTTGTATTAGTTTTTCTCTGTTAAACTAATGATGAAACTACTTTGCAATTACAATGCGCTCATTCATCAAGTGTTCTTTTTGTAAATGAAAGACTAATAGATGTAGAGAGAGAAAAACAGTTTTTCGAAGTTTTTTGTTTGCCATATTGGGTTTTTTCCCTCCCGTCGAAATAGACCATTGTTACGGAATCGTTTCTGATTGTCTGATTTATTCCGTTTTGCAATAATTTGTGTTATCTACATTGTTAAACTGATAAAAGTATTTAATTTGTCGCATGAATCAAGCATTTTTGTAAAAAAAACGTCACATTTTAGCTTCAACTTTGTTTGCACTTTTTTGATTTGTTGTGAAAATTCATCAATTTACAATTTTTATTTGAAAAACGAAATTACTTCAAAAAATACATGCCACTTCGATTTGGTCCCATGTTCCCGTAACATTTAAGATTGATGAAATTCTTTCGCCGAAATTCTTTTGTGAAATGTTATTACCCGAATCAGTTCACCTATCTATCTATCTCTGTAACTATGTTTCTTTCCCTTTCTCACCAGCCGGTGGAAACTAGCACGCATCGATTGATATCGATGAATGCGCTCAATATAAAACTCATTCAAAATGCGACTGAATAACAAATTCTGTCCTCTTTTGTTCAATATTTCTGTAACCTGTAAAAATAAATTACTCAAATTCCAATAATTTTTCATCATTTGTGGGCATAAAATAAAATTCGTGCCGAAATCATCGACCGAAATGGCGTTCGTATGTGGGTTGATTTATGGTTTGGGTATGGAAATTGAAACTTTTATTCAAAAAAAAAAAAAACATTTATGCAAAATCTCAACATCAAAAATATTCAATACGATGGAAAATCCAATGCGCAATATGTGCGCCCAGAACCAAAAATAGCTGTAGTAATAACACTGAAACGACAACAACAAATCTACCTTGAGAAACAATGACGATATCATAAAACATATTGTAAGTATTTTTATGCACGTTTTGCAATAATTTATATAGAGAAAAAGGTAAAATCAATTCGTAAAAACAGTGGCAAATTTTGAGTAATGCCAATGTTTCATGGTCCATATTCCATTTTTATGTGTTTATGTTGTTGTTGTCCATAAGCTAGAGTTGGATAAGAAAAAAAAGTGGCTGAGCGCATTCGAATAGCTTCTGCCGTTTAAGGTATCAACGCGTAAAAGTTTCGGATAATTCCAAGCCACACAACCACAAGATGTTAAATTCAAACAAACAAAACTGAATGAAGAAATATGGAGCATCAAACCGAATTGAAAACTGGAGGATAATTTAAAATCAGAGATCTTTCCGCAATGGCTCCGCGTGCACACATAAAGTGTCATTTTTACTCCCAAATAGGCATTTTCACAAATTTATTGAAGGTTAAAGGTTTTTTTCACTCCTTGTTTTTTCGGTTCTCGTTCTCAATATATATCTAAGTTTTTGCACCCCATCTGAAAATCGTTGGCTGTCGAAGAAGTTTGACATTTGGAAACGAAACGCAACGGATGAATGAAGAGTAAAGCATGTATTCACACCGAAGAAAAATGCAAATATTTTATAAAGTTTTATGGCTGATGTATAATGTATTCTTTTAAATCTGCATCAGTTAAACGTTTACCACAAGACTTAAATTCCATTGGACGTTTTATATGGATTGTACAATTTTTCCACTCGTCTGTTATGTGTGTTTGAAGCACTTGCATAAACATTTATCAACAAAAAAAAAACATACTCCAAAACATAGTTTTTTTTATTTTCCTACGTGTTTGGGGATGGTAGCGAATGATTGCCTGAAAGTTGCGGAAACTTGAAATGTTTGGAGTGTGTGTAGATTTAATGCCATTGTGGATGCAATTGAAAAATTCCATTTTGCAGAATTAATCTTGGTTTTTGGGTTGAAAAACCAAAATTCGAGCTCAGCTATTTTTGTGTGCTTGTGCTAAAAATGTTGCCATAAAAATTCATAAAACCATTTTTGACGTCCATAAAAATAACAAATTTTATCACTAAAATTTTACCACTGAAATGTTTGCCGGCGATAAACTAATTTTTGTGTCGGTGATTAACTTTCCATCCATTAAATGCGACAAACGAACAAGAAAAAAAACGTGGACATTCCTAGATCAATTTGATGCATTTTATTGCACAATTTCATAAAGTATTGGAATCGGCGTTGGAAGTGTCAACGTACAAAAATAGTTTCATGTTACATTTAAGGGATTTGTCGTTTGTTGTTTTGCAAAACTATTATCGAATTGGATGAGAGTGGCAACAACAAATTTGCTGGAAAATGAATATGAGCGGGATTTCAATGGAACAAATAGAAACGAGGCATTAGATATGGATGGCACATAGGAAAAAAAAACGGAACGAGAAATGAATTTGCCTGATAATTTTTATGCAGTACTGTAGCTTCTGTAGCGCCAAATGGAAATGGAAATGGAAAACGGTTTTCAGAACGAGACAGAACAGTCATAAAACAAAATATTTAAACAAATAAATCTTCATCTCACCACACGTCGTATAAATCATAAATGTTCCATTCTGCCGTTGAATTTGTTTCACTGTTTGACTGTTGTGGCTTAACCAATGTTATTTCAGAGTTCATATTAATATTTAAACGTTCGAAAAACTCAACTCCGAAGGAGAACAATTTCGCTGATGACGAAGGCTGTAACGGCGTCGACGACGACGAAAAGGATGATGATGATGGTGGCGACGGCGGCAATAGAGACATTGGCGCTAAAGGTTGCTCCAATATCATCCAGTGATACGATGTATTAAACAAACCACATTCGGATGCCTTTTCACAGTGTGTTGTTTTTTTTTGTCCGTTCGTTCGTATGTTGGTTGGGTTGTTTTCGTTTGAGTAAGTAATATCGTGTTCGTGACGATTGCATCATCCATCGTGGTATAACGATTAATTCATGTGTTGCGAAAGCCATTTCAAAAGAAAAATAAGAAATACACAACCTTCAAAAAACGATCGAAACACAGCGCAGTAATAAAGTACAATATGCTTGTGCATGTGTGTGAGAGAAAATGTGCATGCAAGTGGAATACTCGAGCGAAAATGTAGACTCTTTCTTTTTCTCTCGATCGGTTGTCGCTCACAGTGTCGAACATTACTGTTTGCGGTCATTGAGTAACCAAAGAGATTCCATGTCATGTAAGTGCAGCAAAATTCGTGTCACACATTTGTACAACGCTCAATATCAGAAGTACATTGCAAACAAGTAGCAACAACGAAAATGACAACACAAAATAGCGATTACAAAATAAAATAATATTGAATCAAATTCAAAACTGGAGCAAAGGTATACAGAGAGAGAGAGGGAGAGAGAGAGAGAGAGAGAGAGAGGAGAGAGAGAGAGGAGAGAGAGAGAGAGAGAGAGAGAGAGAGAGAGATACAGCGATCCAGAGCATACGTGACGAATCGCATATCAAACGAAAATTGATTGAAAATTTAATATTTTTAATGGATACACCCGCACGATTCTTGTCACTTTTGACTGCAATTTATAATTGACATGGCAAAACAGAGCAGAAACGGTGCATGGAAATAGGTAAACCGTATCATATTCTTTGGTGATTGAGACTTTATTTAAAATCAATCATTGCAGAGAAAACACGATAATTGTTTCGTGAGTGTTGGTTTTTTTTATCGAATGTAAACTGAAATTTGTTTGGAAACACAAATTAAGATAAATATATGCAGCGAAATATCGTGACCAATTTAAGTGAAAAACTCATAAAATTTAACGAAGAAAATAGCAAATCGATAAACTTTAATTAAATTCATTACAAATTACGCTCTGACTTAAGTTCATGCACGACTTCGTGCGAATGAGTTGTCCTTTTAATCTGTTGAAATTACTGCTTAACTCCGTAATCAAAGTTGTACGAACGCTTTTTTTCATTTTTATTCTTCTTTTCTACTTCGATGGCAATGAAATTCTATTAGTTTTCGAATTGGTATGGAAAGAAAAGTATTATAAATATTGCTGTTGAAACGATTTTTAATATTTCCTATGAATTCAATGGAAAACCATAAAAAAATGACCGAGAAACCGTAAATATTCAAAGATCAATGAATACGACTGATAAGTCGAACGAAATGTCGAATTTTAAAATATCTTCAAAATATTTTACGAACTCAGCACAAACTTACTAATAATGTGAAATGTGAGAGGTGTAAATGTGATGTTAAATGCAATGTGCATTTTTCAAGTGTACGAAGTGTTTGTTAAATAGTTTTTGATGGTTCATTATTTACCTGTTGAAGAATGAATTGGCTATGGTGGCAGCGTGAATCAAGCACAACACCTTGCTTCGAGTCACCGCGTTCAAGCATTCCCGACAAACGATATGCGTCAAATGAATTTAACTTTTCGTATTCAACGTCGATGTTACACTCATTGCTGGAGGTGATGTTGAACATAGTCGCATCGATATTTCCATCACCTTTTATTAAAAAGTTTCCAGCATCCATCAAGTATTTTACAATTTGTTGATAATTTAAACCACCATTGGCATACTTTTGTTTCAATTTTGGATGTTCGTTGTTTTTTTGTTGTTGTTCTTGTTGAACTTTTGCACCGGTCAGTATTGGATTATAATAATCGGATGGTATTGAAATAGATAAATGCGTTGAACTATCATCGCATAGAAAAAGTGTAAGCCGTTTAATGTGTTTGTAAGTTTTGAAAAAGTTCACTATTAAATCAACACTGCTCTTTGGATAAAGAATTTCTTTTGTCGTATTGTTGTCGCCTGAGTTTGTTGATTCAAGGACTTTGCTGGCAGTGACCATGCTCCAAAAACTCAGCAAAAAAATAACCAAAAGTATTTGCCATAAATTCATATTTGCTTTTCGTGGTGCAAAAATATAAAGAAGAATTATTATTATTTTTTCAATACCGCTATGATGAATGGAAACTTTACGACTGAGTCCCAAAGCCAAATCTGTATGTGCCTGAGCTTGGAATTGTGTCGAAACGAAAATTGCACGTTTTACATCAAATACTATCTTCCATCCGGCAATTACACTTTTCAAGGACTTTCTCTCTCTCTCTATGAGCCTCTTTCTCCGCCCTTCAGTGCGATTAATTTCAATAAACCAATTCAAGTAATTGAAGGCTCTTTCCATATTCTATTTGTCAGTTCAGTGAATAATTTCTTTGAAATATCGATGAGCAAAAGGTAATTGTTGTGGTGGGAAAGTTGACATTGAGAAGTTGCTTCTACAATATACAACAAGTAACAACAGCAACAACAAGAAAAGAACCAAGTAAACTAAAGCTGAACAAACAAAAGGCTTCACTCCCTCTTTTCGCTAAACAATAACAGCTGAAGGATAAGAAAACACAAATTCACGTTCACCGAAAATTACTCATGCCCACACGTTGAATATTATTCATACATTGTAAACAACCAACTACATACATATGAGAATGTTAAGCGTCATTTTGACATTTATCATTTTGATAGATTGATATGTAATTTCTTATGTAAATTATTCTTCTGAAATGTCACATGGTAAAATGATCATTTTTCATTTTTCATAAGACAGGAAAATTTCTTTCGATGAATAACCGACCATATACTTATATCAGACTAGTACTCTTTCAACATGCACATTTTGAACAATCACTGAACTTATTCGACAACCAATTCTGATGAATAGAATTACAAATGCTATAAAAAATCATTTCAAAGATGACATGAAAACCAATTACTTGCATTTTTGAATGAACGTTATTAAAAAGAAGATATTTTTTTATACATTCAATTATAATCATCAAAATGATTTCAGCTCAGGAAGCTAATATCAGGCGCTGGAATGGAGTGGAAGCATTAGAAGTGTTTTAACGCTGTCATTCCTATAATGACTCTTACAATCTCTTCTATTGATTTCAAACGATTTCAATCACTGAAATTAGCTCCCTGGGCTGATTCAACTGGCTGAAAATATCTCAATTACAAGAAAAAAACTTAAAAATTTCGTTTTATGATTGAAAATTTTCAGCATTTTTCACAAAGTACCAAATTACCTCTTTCTTTAGCGCTAAATTAGTACCGCTAATGATCGCGAACTTTCACTCCATATATCTATTTATAATTACATCTTCTTCTTGTTTTTTTTTCAACTGCCGATTGAATTGAATAATTTAAACGAAGTAAATCATTTTGCGTCCTAGTAAGAAGTTTTCTGAACCACATTTCCAGCTTATGAACTACTTTTAACCAAAATATCAAATAATTACGATTACAATTTTACAAATCCGCAAACTAATTTAATATAAGACATTTTAAGAAAAAAACTTGATATCGATCATTTCTAATGGCAAATATAGCGGAATCAACTAAACAAATGTGAAGAAAAACCTTATGCCGCAATGGTAATGCAAATACCTCCAATGACATTGACAGTGTCACAAGCCCTGTTATCAATTTTTACTTTGCATCAATATTATTGCCAATAAATCATCATTTTTTAATGTAATTTACTTTTTCATCTCCATTTTTTGAAAGAGATGCGATCAATTTTTAGTCCAATTCAATTGAATTCAATAAACTAACCATTTGATCACTACACAATATTGGCACAGATTTATTTTTTAAAGTGTTGGAAAAATGTGCCTCTTGCGTAATTCAGAAACGTCTATGTATTGACTAAAAAAAGCAACGGCGAAAAACGTTGAAACCATCATTCTTCTTATTTTTTCTAACGGTCCACGCAAAAATAGCGACTGTTGGTCTGAGTGACACACTCAAACACTCTCAAATTCATGCACGAACATAAAATTTATAAATGTCTTTCGTATGTCATTTTTCTCATTCACATACCTACCCCATTTTCGTCAATTTTTGAATGGTAGCCTTTTTCAAAAAGAAAAACAAAATACTTTATCATCTCTCACTCTTGTGCATTCTATTCGACGAATATATGCCATTGTTGATGTTCCGTTTATTGTTTATTCCATACAGTTGCCACTTGCTTGCCACCGTCACAAAAGATTGTTTTCTCTTTGTGATTTTCATGCGAATGTACCCATGCCTTTGAGTATCTACTTTTTGGTCGTTGCTCGATTGCGCGCGAAATTTGATGGAATTTCAGCGAACGAACAGGAATTTTAAATAAATATTATTATTCAAAAAGAATGATGTTTTTTGTTTGGGTTTATTCCAATTTTTTTTTCTTTGCATACATTCTATGTATTGTATACGAATTTTATTGTTTACATCCTTACATTTAGATGAAGTATTCAGGAAATGGATAATAAGTGAAACATTGTTCACGCATGCTAATGTGAAACTTCAATTGGTTGTAAATGTGATTGCTCTTCTACAAATCGCACACACGCACATACGCAACGCTGTTAAGGAATAACGTACGCACGTTGAAGTTCAATTGGTTGAACCAATTCGCCATTCGTACACTAAACATGAAATGTAACATTTATCATGAACATTTTGCAGCATTTATGTACATTGTACACCATATGCATGCATTTATCACAATCAAATGAAGTAGCATTGAATATGTGTGGACGGCTTTTTCATATACTCATTTAAGCAAAATTCCCAAAGAAATCACCATCATTTTCGTAGAACACAAATTGTTTGAAGTAAGTATGATGATGAGTTAAATTAATTATGTTCGGTCTGTATAATTTTTTATCTTATTCACTCGTCAAAATCTTTTTCATCTCAATTGACATCGAAAAACATACAAACCAAAGTAATGCTTATCAAAAAAAAAAAAAAATCAAAGAAAATCGCGCCAAAAATATACACGCGTTTATTTTTGGCAGAGTGAGGAAATGAACAGACAAACTTCCTGGAAATACGCGATAATATTTCAACTTCACCCATGAGATTGTAATGTTAAACAATCAACTCATTAGATTTGAATTTTTTACATGAATTTATAACTTGAAAATAATGAGAACTACATAGCAGCGCCATCTATTTGATAACGGTGAACTTCCATCAGCTTTCATTCACAATCAACCTTAATACTCAAACAATGATTTTTGTGTTATTTTATTCAATTTTTATTTCACGAATATTATTTCTGCAGCTCAATAATCGAAAATAAGATCCATTCTAGAATTCTGAAGATGTAACAAACATCATTTCGACAAAAATGTTATAATTTATCAATAAAATTGACGTAAACAAAATAAATACCGGGAGAAAGCGTCCATTTAACGACGCGAACGCCATAAATATAAGTTCTCCGCACTATTGTGTTCACTGTGTATAAATATATGTTGGAAAATTGACAACGTCAAAAAAGCGAAAAACTTCGTCGACGTGTATTCATTTATATATACTTTTCTGAATTGAAAACAGCAATAAAATTCGGCCGAAAATAACGATAAATTGCATATACATACGAAGTGGAGGCGAAAAAAGATTGTGATTAATTTCTCGGGGCAACATAAAGATCAATAAAATCGAAAACGCTCGGCATTTTAAAACATTCAATTATAAAATGATGTGTTGTGAAACATTGACTGATTCATCTATTGTCTAAGTTTGTTATTCCATTGCAAAAAAAAAAACACACACACACACACACATAAGCAAAATAAAGCGAAAAGGAAATTGCCAACATTGAAGATCTTCAGTAGGAAATCATAATGACATTGTTAAGAAATTTAGTATTAATTATAGGATTCACAATTATCTATGGAGATGAACACAATCATATTGTAAGTGTCTTGCATCGTGTGTATGTGTGCGATAAATTAATATTGACATGGAAATTGCTGTGGGCAGTAATTGGCCACGTTAATTGTTGAATGTTTGTTTTTAATGTGAATTTCATAATTTTCTCTGTTTCATTTTTACGCAGTATAATCTAAAAGAAGAGGTGGTGCTATGGATGAATACAGTGGGTCCGTATGATAATCGGCAAGAAACGTATGCATATTTTTCATTGCCGTTCTGTCAAGGAACAAAACAGTCAATTGGTCATTATCATGAAACCCTTAGCGAAGCATTGCAAGGTGTTGAATTGGAACATAGTGGCTATGCAATAGATTTCAGAGGTAAGAAACACACACACACACACAAACATCTTTGAAATTCTTATTCAATTTGCATAAATGTCATCTTGTGTTTTTTTTTTGTTTTATTGTCATCGAATTGAGCAGAGGATTCGCCAGCCACCGAAATTTGTATGACTGAATTGGACGAGGAGAAAGTGAAGGCGTTTTCTTATGCAGTCAAGAACAATTACTGGTATCAAATGTACATTGATGATTTACCAATTTGGGGTCGGGTTGGCGATCGTGGTGAAGATAAAAAATATTACATTTTCACACATAAAAAATTCGAAATTGGCTACAATGGAAATCGCATTGTCGATGTTAAGCTCAGCACCGAAAATAAACAACCACTTGTATCGGGCAATAAAATTAAATTCACATATGAAGTTAGCTTCTATCCAAGTTCAATTGAGTTCAAAGACCGTTTCAACAAATACTTGGATCCAACATTCTTCCAACACAGAGTAAGCATTCGGCTGAAATAATGTTTTACTTTTGAATTTGATTACTAAATGTTGATGTTTTTGTTGTTTTCAGATTCATTGGTTTAGCATATTCAACAGTTTCATGATGGTGATATTTTTGGTTGGTTTAGTGTCAATGATTTTAATGCGAACACTTCGCAAAGATTATCAACGTTATAGCAAAGATGAAGAAATGGACGATATGGAACGGGATTTGGGCGATGAATATGGTTGGAAACAGGTGCACGGTGATGTGTTTCGATCACCAACACATAATATGTTATTTTCATCCCTCATTGGTACGGGTTATCAATTAACCACCGTTGTATTTTCCGTGATTATTTTCGCCATCATTGGAGAATTATACACAGAGTATGTTTATACTATACAACAAACGATATCGTTATCAATTTGTTTGGTTAATTTTTTCGATTTTAATTTTTATTTTTTTATAGACGTGGTTCGATGTTATCGACGACAATTTTCGTGTATGCAGCTACATCACCGGTGAATGGATACTTTGGTGGTTCATTATACGCACGTCAAGGTGGTAAAGTGTGGATTCGACAAATGCTTGTATCAACATTTTTGGTGCCAACATTTGTATGCGGTACCGCATTTTTCATCAATTTCATTGCTATCTATTATCATGCATCCAGAGCCATACCATTTGGTACAATGGTTGCTGTAACATGTATTTGTTTGTTTGTCATTTTACCGTTGAATTTAATTGGAACGGTTGTTGGACGAAATCTAAATGGTCAACCAGATTTTCCGTGTCGCGTGAATGCTGTGCCACGGCCCATACCCGAAAAAAAATGGTTTATGGAACCAGCTGTCATTATACTACTCGGCGGTGTATTGCCATTCGGATCAATATTCATCGAAATGTATTTTGTGTTCACATCATTTTGGGCGTATAAAATTTACTACGTATATGGATTTATGTTGCTGGTATTCTCAATTTTGATCGTAGTTACCGTTTGTGTAACAATCGTTTGTACTTATTTCCTGCTGAATGCTGAAGATTATCGATGGCAATGGACGAGCTTCTTGTCAGCCGCATCAACTGCAATCTACGTTTACGTCTATTCATTTTACTATTTCTTCTTCAAAACTAAGTAAATCCACCAAATTTATCACAAACATTTACGACCATTTCGAACAATCTAATCAAATATCATTTCTCTATTTACAGAATGTACGGCCTATTCCAGACTGCATTTTATTTCGGTTATATGGCATTATTCAGTGGTGCGCTTGGAATCATCTGTGGCACCGTCGGTTACATTGGAACTAGTTTCTTTGTACGTAAAATTTACTCAAATGTAAAAATCGACTAAGCACATCAAAGGTAGGCAGATTGGGCGTGAATGGTGGAAATTAACGCGATCTGTGGCATCAAATTTTCCCATTACCCCTTTACAGATTGAAGAAAAATTTGATCTGCCTGCCTAAAAAAAATAGGACTCGACGACAAAACAAAAATAAAAAAAATAAAACATACACACGAAATTCTTTATAGTCGCCAACATCATGTTTATATATATATATTTCTAACAATTTCTCGTTTGTAACATTTTCATACATTTTCTATGTTGATCATACGTGAATTTAAATGCTGATATAGTTCCTTTTTTTTAAAATGAAACAACAAACAAAAAAACGTATAAAAAATTGGAAAGCGCGAACAAACCTCAGGAATGACCTGAATATTATTTCATCTTTTTTTTATTGGAATATATCGGCAACTCGTAATAACTGTATATTGAAACATAAAGCAGCGACTGAATTATTTTATTTAACAATTGTTTTCTATTATTTTTCCCCGATCTTTCTATTCTTTCATATATCTGTTTCTTTTTTATGGCATTTCGATTTGCTAAAGATAAATGTAAAGTGTCTTTTGCTTTAGAGAAAATTACATTCCATTCAACAAAAAAGGATCAACGTGTCCTCTGACTATGAGTTCATCTAGTTTTTTTTTGAAAATCAAATTTCGACTGAAAGACAAAATTTTCGAAGGCAAATTACATTTTACAAATCGAAACTAATACGAAAACACGAAAATGATGATTTTAATTTTTTTAAATAGCCAATTTTGATTTGTTTTTTCTTTATTAAATAGTCTATTTTATTTTATTCATTTGCTGCACAAAGCCGCATTGATGCGCGCAGAAAAATGGTTCAAGTCGATTGTTTTTAGAGAAACCTTAAAATCGTTAGATATGCAAGCGTGATGAATTTATTAAATAAAACTAAAATTTGAAATGAATTATTATTTTATTATGTAAAAAGATAAAACACACACACACACACGAACAAGTAAATCTCTTTTTTTTTAAAGCAAATTATAGAGGAGAGGCGATAAAACGATAGAGTGAAACTAATTAAACGAATAAAAAAGAGAAATGAAATCGCTAGCATGTAGTAAATTGCTAAATTATAAAATAGGATGCATTATAATAGAGTGACACATACACAAGAAATGATACAATAGTTAAGTGTATAATTTAATTTTAATATGATAAATGTGCTAAGATTTAAAAAAAGAGAAAAAAAATGATTGAAAATAAAACAAAATCAAACGATTTTCTAACAGTTTTCCATTATCTATGCGGAAGAGAAACAGAAATTGAGTATTTCTAAATAATTAGTTTGTACAAAATAAAATTCCTTTGAGATTTTTTCATCAGCGAAAATATAAAAAGAGGTACGGTTTGGGTAAGTCCGTCTGAAGAGTCGGTAATATCGATTTATGTCGTTTGTACATTGAATTGTGTCAACACATGTTGCTTGCAGATTGTGGCTTATATTTTTGTTTCAGTATATTTCATATGAATAAACAAAATGACTACCAATAACAGTCTCAATGGGTATTACTGCCATTAATGCAACAAAGCAAACATAAAATCGACTAACTTAACAGCGACAGAAAGAACAAAAAAGAGGCACAGACAAACCATGTATAAAATAAAATGCGATATAAGAACCGGCTCGAATGCGATAAATTGAACACATTACACGCACACAATGACATTCGTGCGCACAATCATACACAGACAATTCGCCAAAAAATATACACATATACTCTCCTTATGACATTTGTTTATAGTCGATCTTCAGCTTACTGTTTATATTCGTTTCGTTCCTTTGTATGCAATCAACCATCGTTCTCAAAAAAAATCTTCTTTTTTTTTCAATTTATTTCGGCGTGGTTCTTTTGGTTGCATTTAATTTTGTTCTTTGTTATCAATAATTCGAATCGATTATTTGTGTTTCATAATCCAAGTTCACATAATTTCTATATATTTTTTTTGTTTCTTTTGCGACACAAGCGAAACTTTTATTCTCACTTCGAGCACACGCATTTAGTGCGGTCATAATTTTTTTTGTTCAATAGTCAAAGTGAACATGAATCTCCATACTAATAAACGTTCGGCATCCGACGACATAAATGAACGTCGAAAACGGCGTCGAACGATTTCGAATGATTTATATCGAGGTAAGTACTTATTTTTCCAAAAAATTTATTTCTGTGACCATTTTGGTTTTATCGATGGTAATTTTTTTGTGAACAGGTTTCAGTATTGATGAAATTGAAAATAACGAAGATGTATCGGATTTATCGTCAATGTCATCTGATAGCGATGAAGACGATGAATCAAAGATAGATTTACATGTGCCAAATGCATCGTCATCTAGTCAATGTGATCGGTGTTCAAAATGCAAATGTGGTTAGTATGTGATGCATTGAATAACGCAAAAACACAAAAAAAGAATGAAATGATTTCAACAAAAATTATTTATTAATTTCAGATGAAATACCAAAACTAATGAAAGTACACAACGAAGTGTTGTCATTGTTGACGGGTAAGTTTGAAAATAAATGTTGTGTTTGCGATAGTGAATTGATTGATTGATTTACGTTGCAGAATTGAAGAAGAAAAACAACGAAATACACAAAACGGTCAGACTTGAGCTTCAAATTTGCAGACAAGAAATTATCGAAGAAGTACAGCAATTGAAGCAGAGTTTTACACGAATGACCGATATGATTCGCCACGACACGAGCGACGACAACATTGTAGTTAATGTAGGACGGAATAATTATAATGGGCCAGAATCTCCTCTATATAGAAGGGATCGCAATCGATCAGCATCTCCCCATTATTTCCCCTATTCACCCGAATATGATCCAATGGATCCAGGAATGGCGAACGATGAAAATGTTCCACCAATTCGATATATTAGAGGCTATAATCCACCGGTTAGAGCCAGAGCGGATGAAGATATGGACGATGACAATGATGGACAAAGCGTTTCAGATACTTCCGAAGATGAAGCATTTTTAGAAGATTATTTACGATAAGAAAACCAGATAAAACTGTCGATAAAATAACGAAAGCGATTCGCATTTGTCCCAAATCATGCCCAAATCAATAACAAAAATAGAAGAAATATTATTTGCGGATGAGGCAGGGATCGTCAATCTCATTATGGATCGTTTTAAGATCTGTTCTGATTTTACAGAAATGAGACTTAGGTTATGTTAATATGTATTAAGTTCAATCATTTTTCTATCGCTTCATACTTATGTCAATCGATTTATTTTATTTAGTTATCACGCCATACATTTTGCTCTATCTGTAATTTCGAAATTCAATCAAATGCCTCAGTTTAATTATTGATTTGTCTCAATAAAATTTACAGTAATTTTTAGAAGGATAAATTTTGATTTTTTTTTTGAATTTTTTTAACGAAATAAATGCTATCGAACTGAAGTTGGCTCATTCTAAACTGTACAAAAAGTCCAGACTAGCTGTTAAACAATATTTTTCAAAGCCATTCACTATTCATTCGAAGTGAGATAAATCAAGTTTCACCTCACACAGAAATAATGCGGAAGAAATGCATTTTTTTTGTATAATTTTCAAAATGTTTTCAAGTTTAAAAAATAAAGTTGAAATGATTTTGGTTTGTTCAAAATTGTTTGTTGAACAAAATTTTGTTGCCCGATTTGAAATGTCAACATCATACAATGACTGACATTTCACACATTAAAAAGTACGTGGCACCACGTCTGTCTAGAGTCGCCGCATCATCATCATTGATATCGTGTTGTTTTCATTCGGTTGCCAAATTGACATTCACTTTTTCATTTGATTTGCCACACACTAGTTTTGTCGTCGTCAACGAGATCGGTTGGAACAAATTTTTTGGTTCATTTTCGTTGTTGTTAAGTGCAACTGTGTTGAATTAAAACTACCTCGTTTCATTTTTGGGACATCATCTGAATAAGAAAAAAGAATTCTAGAATCATGTCAAAGTTATTGTTCGTTTGTGCATTCTCTGCAATCGTTTCATTGTCATTGGGTTTGTCATGTACGAGCCCGACCGTTGAATCGGATGTATCATTCACCACACAAGACGCAACAATTGTTAGTCAAATTGCATTCATTACCGAATTCACATTGAAATGCAGTAACAAAGCATCCGAAACATCACCATTGTTTGCCGAAATCGATGGTAAACTTCAACCAGTTTCACGCATCGGAACAGACAGATTCCAAGTAAGTTCAAATTTCATTCGATGCCATTTTTTTAAACGTATACCGTTATGTGAAATGTAATATTAATGTATTCGGCTTTCGTATGCGATTTTTCTATTTTAGGTCAGCTGGACAGAAGAAACAAAGCGAGCCCATCGTGGTGAATACATTGTCCGTTTATTCGATGAAGAAGGTTTCGCTGCCGTTCGTAAAGCACAACGTTCGGGTGCCGATGTTGATTCAATTGCACCATTGGCCGAAGTACCTGTGAAACATGCAGGTGCCTTCAATGGACCATTCGTGAACTCAGAAATTTTGGCTGCTGGACTCTCAATCCTCGTTGCCTACTTTGCATTCTCAACAAAAAACAAACTTTTGTCATAAGTCATCGCATCGATGGATTATCAAATCATTGTTCACACTTCTTTTTTTTTAACGAAAAAACAACTCATTTCAATTCATTTGATGTAGAAGAGCAAAGAAATAAGAAAAAAAAATATCAAAATGAATCCGATGTTACGAAGTTAGTTTGTCACAGTGCAAAAATTGAATTGTAAAAACAAATCAACAACAAAAAAACAAGCTGAACGAGAATAAAGTGATTAATTTATAATTAGCAAATGTGTTTTTCTTTTAGGCTTTAGTGGTCTGGAGGAGAATTGTTTCGCTCAATTTAATTGAACTTATCGAAGTGCTGAAACGGAATTCTCCAAAACAAATGAATTTCATTTTAAAATTTGACATTTATTTCTATTATTTTTTAAAAATTAAAATTTCTAACTGTACATAAACAGTATTTTAGACTGTTTAGTACTATTAACAGAAGAGATAATACAAATAGGAAATGGGTTCTTGTTGAATTGTTTTCTATACATCATTATTAGATATCACATCATAAAAAATAGTATCATATATTGCATTTATTGCATTCCATTGTATATCCCTTTTCTCTCATTCAATTTCACTCCCTCTTTTTCCACAAATTTTTCACTCACTTCATTTAAAAGACAAATTTGACACCTTCGTTTGCTTATAAATCTTTTTTGCTTATCTAAAAAAAAAATGTTATCGACAATTTTCAATCAATTTGTGGCACAAAAAATTGGATACAGGTCTTATTGTTTTTCTTTTTCTCTTTTAAAAATTGTTTTGATTTCTCGTCTTTGTCTAAGTTTGAAGGTAACTGCAGTTTTAAATTCATTAATCATTATGCATCCCGGAAGAAGAAAAAAGAGAAAACCAAAGCCTGAGTGTAAAAACTTAACGATTATACGTAAATTTCTTTCTTTTCGTCTTCTTCTAGGCCTTTTTTGGTGAGTGTTGACGGTGCTGACGATGTAATTGGTTGATTACGTTTTGGCAGACTGGGTGACTCAGTTGATTTTGCTCCAAATGACATTTGCCGTGTTAGACGTGACGTCGTTTTATTCGATGCTATTGAATTGGTTCGATTTATTGAGCGCATTATATCCGAATCGGTGTCATTGAATTCGTTGCTTGCCTCGTGTCTATCATCCATTATCTCAGTGATTATGGGACCGGCATTGCTCACGGCTGGATGTGTATTTAAATTCGGAAGTGGCGGCGTTGAATGCGAAGGTAACATTGTTACTACTTTAATCATATTAGCTGTTGTGCCAACACTTTCGGAGGGCATAATGCGAGCTAACGTTGGGCTATTACTTATTGCTGAAAGGGATAAAAGAACGATTTTTTAAAAATATACGTACGTTATGTATTTTACAACCAATTCATGATAAAATTCATGTAATACTTACTATTTCTCCAATCGGCCAATGCATTTGTTGCTGGCGTTCCCGCCTGGAGGGTGCTATGCGCCGAATTTGAATCCGACTCTTTGATCGGAGATAAAAATAGAGTGACCGGCGTTGCATTTGTATTTTGTAAATTGGCCGGAATTAAAGCAACACCGGTAGCCACACTCATCGTTGGTGTTGTGCTCATATTTGCTGATGTTGACATTGTCTCACTTATCATTTCTACTGGCACTGAATTGAATCGATTATCTTTCTCATTAGTAGTCGATGTGGTTGCATCGGGCGTTGGAATGCGAGCTACAATTTTTCAATTGGAAAAAATAAACGAAAATTACTTTTTATTTAAAGTTATATTTTGTAATAATATTTAAAATTGATGAATTTTATATTTAAAAAAATCGAATAAATTTTTCGACAAAATTGATTGAAATGAAGAAACGTTTTATATAAAATCTTTCAAAAAGCCAAGAAATAATAAAATTAAATTGACTTCAGAGCGGTAAAGCATCGCGCTTTTTTCAGGTGTGGCATTTGGTAAATCATATGGTACAAGTGCGAACACTCACAAGTGGTCACACTTCTCCGGTGCCAATAACATATCTGATTGACTTCAATGTTCTTTTTAAGAAATTCGTTTGAAGAAAAAAGCTTGCTTTCATGCAAGAACAGAAGAAAACAGTCAATCTAATTTGATTGAGTTCAAAGAGCTTACGATGATGGTTTGGTTTTTAATCTTTCATTCGTTAAAATTGTTTACCTCGTTTCAGCATATTTTTAAGATTTCGACCCGATTTTCTCGGGAATTTGTCGTACATTTTCATTTTATTGTTAATTGACGGTCTAAGTTGTTGGCCAGGTAAATCATTGTCTGGACTTGAATAAACCGAATTGTGACGATTTCTCTTGAATGGATATCCGGAAGAGTAGGCCGTTGACGAGCTCCTCAATGATCCCATTCGTGTTATTTGTCTGCTAAACCAATTGGAACTTTTTCGTCGTTCAGCCATTGGTGTATCAACGCTCTCCTGCAAATAAATTCAAAATCATAATAAATGCCAAGCAAAATGCGTGTCTATAAATCATAACTTACATAATCAGCATACATATCATCAAAGTTTTGTCGTTTGCTTGGTATAATATTGGCATACATTGCATCAGCTTGTTTGACTTTATAGTTTTCGGCCGATCCCTTTGGTTCGTATCGGCGATAGTGTTCTGAAGCCACTGTGTATGGCAAATCAACTGGCACAACTTCTTCCCAATATTGATCTTTCAGCAATTCTGGATGCTCTTCGTGCATTTCATCAACAATCATGTATGATGCCTACGGGGCAGAATAGAAAAAAAGAGAGAAATGTTCAAAATGAGACACGTTTATTCAAAGTTGAAAAAAGTTCACAAGGCTTTTAATAATTAACATATGCAATTTAAATGAGCAAAGATTTAATTTTAGATTTTGTCAAATGATAAAATTAATTGAAATTCTATATGCGCTTTGTTTAAGAAGAACAACACTTGAGTATTCTCCAAAGGTTAATCCGATCATCGAAAGGAAGCAGGTGTATTTTTATAAAAAAAAGGCGGCACACATAAATCGATGCATTAAGAGTATGGCAATCATAGATCATTTAAATATGTTTTGTTTGTGCGAGTGCAAAAATTTAACATTTCCCCAATCATACATTCTAAAGAAACGGCTTAATTATAGGTCCGACCGACTATGTATTTATATGCGTGTGCGTTTGATTGTGTGCGCGTGCATTTGAACTAAACGACCTATTTCAAATTTCCATTGTATGGTGGGTCTCAACCAGTTTGTTATTTTTTGTTTTGTGTGTGTGTGTGTGTGTGCTTCTCATTTTGTTGTTGCACTTGTTCTAAGCTGCAAGCGCACACGAAAGAGATTGCAACGAAAATACAAGTGCTCGTGAAAACATCTACATTCAATTACATCGTGTTACGACCTTCTGCTAACGAAACAAATGACTAGATAAACTGCAACATTGTATTTTTTTGAACGTTTAATTGCCAATTTTACCAGGGCTGAAAATATTTTAAAAATGCTGATGTTAATTTTTGTGTTGTCTCGTTTGATTTTTTTTTGTTGTTGCTTCGTTTACCTTTTGACAGTACGGCCAAACACACAACACAATCTTTTTTTCATTTTGTTTGTACATTGTGCGGCCAAAGAAGTGCTGCATCGAATCAAAACTGTATTTGAAAATTCAATTAAGCTATGCGTTCGAACAAAGTATAGTGTGCAATGCGTTTACATTTTTGGAATGGATGATTAGCATATAGTTTGGGACACACATTGTTATTGCACATAGAACTGTGCACAAAAATGGCAAATTCCAACCAGACTAATTGGGAAAATGACTTAAAAAAAAAAAAAGGTCAGGTCATGAAAAATATAAATGTATTGAATGTACACAATGGGAAATGTGTATCCAAATTGTGCGGTAGCGAAAAAAAAACACCAAACAACAACATTCCAAACACTTAATTCGATTTCTTTATGCAAAGGTCAACACTTGTCCATGCACCAAATACATTTTTCAAATGTGTTATTCAAACACCGGAATAAATCACTTGTTTTCTATATGGAATTGATTGGGAAAACATACATTTTATTCGAAGACAATGATATTGATATGGCATTTTCCGTACATCAAACACTTTGTTAGGTCAAAGTGTCATCACAAGTAATTTGTAAATTGCTTTTTTTTACTTGGTACATGAGTTTGTAGGAATGATTAAAATCAAGTTATAAAGCAATTGATCAAGGGGCATATATTCGATTTTGACCGGATTCACCTTTTCAGTCTGGCAAATCATGAGATTTAAATTAATAAATTAAAGGAATGCTTGCGTTCATATTGAATTATACCAATTCATTTTCTGCGTAATACAAAGACAAAAATCAACTCACATATGATTGATTATTTCATAAAAGGAACCGGTCGACGATTGGTTTCAAGCCAAATTCAAGAGTCGAATAACAACAATAATTACATATATGTTGAAGGAGAAAAAAAACGAAATCTCTTGTGATGTTTGGCTCGAAAAAAAACTCTGGCATGAAGTGCTTTTTATCTCCACTCAATGTTAATTCTCATTTCGTTCAGACAGCACAATCATCCTCTTTGCTATTAACACCGTAACATGGTGTTATTAAAAGAGAAAAAATAATTAAATAACTTGTTCTCTCATTGACCGAGTTCATTGGAATCGACGCAGTCATTAGATTTGTGTAAAATCGTTAAATTTTTTCAATCCAACTTGGATGCTCAGTCTTGGCTGCATTTTGAGTAGATCAGAAGAGCAAAACTAAACAAACTCCAATAAATCCGTTTAAATGATGCAAATGTAAAAATAATGCGAAATTATTAATATTTATACAATATTTGCTACGTGTCTTGTGTGTTTGTTTTTGACACAATGAGATTTAAACAATTATTATTATGTACTGATAATCCGAAAGATGTATATCACATTTGTGATTTAAAAATATCACTGGTGCGACATAATGTGGGACCATTTCAAATGGTTTTGTGCAAAATTTACCGCGCGATGTGCTGTTTTGTTACACAAGAACACGTGCTATTTCCATTGAATTGAATTCAGATTTTGTGTTGTTGTCTTTCTTCTCTCCTCTTCTGGTTTTCTATTTGTTCAGTTCGTTATCATTTCACATTGGCGTAATGCGTCTGTAATTCGACGAATTGAATGAAAATAAATACGAGAGAAGATGTTGTAAAAAAAATATGTGTCACCCTTGGTGTCACCATACAGACTACAGACTCTTGGTGGAATAAAACTCTTCTTTCTCACACACTCATATTTACAATAAATATTTGCAAAAAGCATCAGCACCTCAATTTTTTTTTTTTCGTTCGTTGATTAAAATTCCATTGAAAATCGTGAAATTCAGAATTCAGTTTTGTTTTCAGCTAATGATCTCCCCAACTGGCCAAATAAACATAAATTGTAATTTGAAGTGATACATTTCGAACTTAATCACATTCACTTATCGGAGTGATTTTGAAATGTGAAAAGTAAACTGAAATTGATGATGGAAAACCCAGAAACACTACAATAAAACAAACAAAGCGAAACCTTGAGCGGTAAACACGAAAATCAGTCGCTTTGATTTAGTTTATGCACAAATCTTATTTCATATCTTAAAATGAACGGTGACTCAGATGAAATATTACATTTTCAAAAATACTCTATAATGGCGCATTGAATATTCGAACAATACAAAAGACATTACAGCAAAAAAAAAACCAACATGACAAACATGAGTAAAAAATTCACTTGAATCACGTTGAAAGTAGAACTTGAAAAAACAAACAAGTACACTTTTAAATCGAAATTGATTTCTACCATTCGCAACAGAATGATCTGTGTATAGCTGTTATTTGTTATCGAGTAAAAACCAAAACACAAAACATATGATAATTTGTTAAAACTAATGGAAGCGAGGAAAACACAAAGCATAGCAAAACTTTTGCGATTAATTCTATGCATACAAAATACGGGTGAAAATAGCATCAATATGAATAATGAGCAACACTCATCGCAAAATAAACACACAAATGTATCAGCAGTTGAGCGAAAAAAAACACTTTACAATAGCAACAATTAACTTCTGTTTTTTTTAAATACTAAATACATTTTCAGAATATAATATGGTGGAACACACACACAGAGAGAGAGAGGGAGAGAAAGGGAACGACATTTGTGTTGTGATTAAACAAGTATTTCAGTTTGGGCTGTAAGTTTTAACATCACGCTCTCTTCGTTATTAATTTAAAAAAATACTCATATAACATTTCTTGATCGACGCTCAACGATTATCATTCGATTTTTTTTATTGATTTATTGTGAAATCGTTTTTTTTTTCCTGATCTAACTTCATGTTCGATTTTATCGCAATTGATGTGAAATGCAACAGAAAATAAAATACTTAAAACCCGGCGCAATGAGATAGATATATGAGATACTGGCAAGATGACATGGTACAACATAGAAATATAAAAAAAACTTTAAACTCACGACACTTTCAAACAACTTTTTTTTTGTTGTTCACGGCTATGTACCACGCCATAAAATTTTAACATTCCTTACCTTTATATGACGATCAATCAACCAGTTTAATTCAATATCGTCATCGTCCTCTCCAAATGGATTGATCAAAACCTCAGCAACTTTCAGCCACCCAACATAAAAGCAAAACTATAACAGAAAAAAGATACATTCGAATTAGATGTATGAGAGAAAAAGAGCAAGAAAACATCGACAACAGCCGCAACAGGTACATTTAAGCATCAAAAAGTGGTTCATTACAATCTACGAAATCAATCAAAATCAAACGAAAATCTAATTATCCTTATGGCAATTACACAAGTTCATTGAAGTGGGTCCGAGCCAACTACTGCTGACTGGGACTTGATTTGCGGGCGGTTCCCTGTCGGTGTAGCAGTGTGTTTGCACATTCTTTTTTTTTTGTTCGTGGTATTTATCACTATTTTAAATGCCGCCTCAAAAATCAGTTTGTAAATAGTTTGTTTTAAATATACTCTAAATGCATATTTAATTAATGTTAAAGAAAAAAATGCATTTGCCGATCGGCTGTCAATTCCAAATGAAATTGATTATGACGCATATATATTTATATATTTTTCTCTTCATTGATCGATGCGATTTGATTTTATAAAGATACGAACGCATAAAATACATGTGTGAAATTGTTTACGCACTCTATACAGTGCACACTCAACTACCTTGATGAACTGCGTTAGATTGCCCACTGTTACTTTTGATCACTCGCTTCAAACTATAAACTAATTTACTTTTGATATGAATAAAATTAATTAACTCGCTAATCGATTCGATCGTGTGTATGTGTGTTAGTGCACGCAATTGACGACACGATTGCATCGGCCGTTTCAAATTCTGTTCTATTTTATTTGTATCGTATGCAACACGAGATGACGGCAACAGCAACGACAATAGATTCTCGGCCATTGCGATATCATCAATCATTCACTTTGTTCGAGTAATAAATGTTTTTGTATGGAAATACAGCTAATAAAATTAGCACTTATTCATTTATTTGACTTGATTATAGCTTCCGTCTTGTTGAATGACATCGATTTTTGTTGGCATTTCAATTTTTATTCTGTCTTTACGATTTTTTTTGCTTATAATAAAAAACAAAAATGATATCGGTCGTTGTTGTGCAAGTGAAAACCGGTGTTTCCGTTTTAATCGAAAAAATGCAACGGGTTATTGGTCTCATCCATCGAAATGACCTTCAGCACGTGTTGCATTGCTTTTTATTCAACTGTTAAGAACGTGCGATTGCATCGAAATAAGAAAAACAAACTGGTTTAAAACGATTTTTATTTCGGCAAAATTCCTATTCGAAAAAAATCGGTATCCAAAACAAAAATGAAAATGACACAGGGAGAGAAAAGAGTATAAAAAACTGTTTTTCGATTCTAATTACATGTATTGACGTATAATAATAATAACATGTAATCGCGACGAATGACTATCTTGCATTTTATCTTATGTGAAGAATTCTGTGTTTTTTTGTTGTTGTTGTTTTGTTTCATCTTTATCTGTTTTAGATTGTTTTGTGCTTGAAATTACATCAGCACTTCTCCAGCACGTTGAGTATGTGTGTTCTTCATTTCGAAGCGTCACATTGAATTTTACAATTGACTTGGCATAAAGTGACATATTGACAAACGAAAGTTCCAATTGAATGATTCGCATTCACTTTTGCGAATGTAAAACGAAGCGAAAATAAACCTGTAATTTCATTTCCTTCAAATGCTAAGAATTGTGCGAACAAATAAAATCGTCATGTGGAATCAATTCGTTTGCACATTCGGAAACGATGATGAGGATGAATTCATGATATTTTTTTTTTTTTTTTTGTTATTTTCGATCAAATCACATGAAAACGATTCGAATGGAAATATACCCAGGCGAATTAATAGAATTGATTTTTTTTATTGTTGCGCTGTCTGATACAAATGACTTTAAACAAAATGAGATACAGAGTGCATTTAAAAGGGACTTGAGAAATCAAAACAAATGTATCAATAGCATCATCAGCAGCGACAGCATAAGCACGTGTATATTTCTCGCTTCTTATAATTTGTTTGCTGCTGCTTAGACCAACAGATCTATTTTTTTCATTTATTCATTTGCCAAAAATCTTGAATAAGCTGTTTAAAAAGAAATTGAACGTCAATTATTTTTACTTGTGTCCAATTTGAGACATGCAACCGCCGATAGAGATAACACATTTTAAAAATCGAATAACACAAAAACAATCAGCATCATACACAATTCAAACTCGCTTTATTTATATTAGGCGAGAGTGTAGTTCGTGCTGTTATGATAACTGCTATTGTTGTTGTTATTTCAAATAAGTTTCGTTTCACTTGTGTCAGTCGCTTTTTATAGTAATCAATTAAGGATTTTACACGAAAAACAAAAGATTTTGTGTCATGTTTCATTGAAAATCAAAAGGCCGGATTTTCATCGAACATTTGATAGATACATGGTCGAACTAAATATGTAAAAAAAGATTTTTTCTTTGTTCATTTTAAAGCGATTATGTATGAAATGGAAAAACAAAAGCTTACCTGTAATGCTGTGAATAGTGGAAAATATAGATCAGGATCTTCATATTTTCCGGTTGGAACTGTACCGTCTGGTCTCGGTATCATTTGTCGTCCTAACAATGCGGCAAAAAAGTATGAGTACAATACCCAAGTGACAACCTAAATACATCCGAAGAAAATGTATCAAAATCAATGATCAATACGTTACGCTGGTACAGTCAATGACGTGTTTCAATCAAAACATACTTGTGTATAAACTAACGGTACACAAACTGTGTCATAGCCGATCAATGCACCCAATCGACGACGAATATCCGACAATTCGACTAAAAGTGTTTGTACAATATGATCGGATGCGATGATTTCTTGTTTACGCGCTCGATTTATGATGTTGGTCGCCCATACCAATGGCATCCAGTATTTTGACATTGGACTTTTACTGTCCATTATTTCGAAGATTTTCTTTTCACTTTCCAACATTAAACCAGCATCAACCAAATGTTGCCAGGTCGGAAAACGTCGTTTCACACGCAGCGATATTCTCATCAATGTTATTACGTAAGCCAATACTGAATATCGCATAATATTACGTCTCATTAATCGGCCAGTTTCATTCTGAAAACGTAAACAGATATAAAAACAAATCAAAACCAGCATTATACAGTACACACAGTGAGATCGTTAATTGATCGATCATGGTTAACCTCTGTGTTAAAAGTTAAATTACGCAGAGATAAAAAAAAAGCAATGTACAATTAAACTCACGTTTCCTGGAATGGCAGCACTTATAAATAAAGCTAGTGTATCAGGCCATGGCAGCAGTTTATACTGGTCCCACCACCGTTTGACTATCAGTGTAACGTAAAAACCCAGCACAAATGACATCGGTATACTTTCGGTTTGTGCACCGAAATACTGCCGGATTTTTTCAAATAATCTGAAATACCATGTGGTTGAAATGTTCTGTTTTTATTTTTTATTTTGTGTGTATTTATTTGCGAACATTTTTGAAAATGGTGGGAAAGAGGAAAATGCATGTGATCGACAACTAAACAACAAATGAAAATTCTCTTTGAGCTAGTTAAGTGTAGGTTTCAATTGAAAATTTTCACATTCTCTCGTTCGATAAAATGAGGCTTTGTTTTGTATTTTCGGTGTAATACACAAAAAAGGGACGTGACAAGTTTTTGAGGGACAAATTGCGCATGACTTTAACAAAATCCGAGGAGATTATGCAACACATTTACTCCACTATTATTTCGAATGCAATAATTGTAAACAACAATAAAAAAAAAGCACCGAAACATCATTGTGCACTTCTTTCTCGTGTGCATTCGACAGACAGTAAGGAAAGAAAACGAACAAAGATAGCAATGTGTGTAACTAAAAAGCTAATTGAATGATTCGAAAAATGTGGAAAGAAAAAAGTGACACAATGGAATGAAAAATTAAATGCCAACCACATTCATTGCTGAGGTGCAAATCATTTCGAAAATTACTCTTTTTTATATAAATGAATGACAATATCAAACACCAGAAAATCAAACAATTTTTGTTGTTGCATTGATACAAGATCACCTGAAAAGATTGATTCTAATCAGAAATTTGCTAATTCGTTGTCGCAGAGCATGTGAATTTTTCACATTACGATTCAAAACCATACTGCACTGATTCCGATTCGAAAAATTCAAGTGAAATGGAAACCTTGAAGAGATTTGCAATTGTGAATTCTTTTATGGTGTGCGCTTGTGTGTGTATTGGTGTGTGTGTGTTTGTGTGCAGACATAAATGTGCACAAATCACAATTTATTGTGTCACAGCTTGTTCTTAAAATTATGTGTTCTGTTTACGCAATAAAAACGTATATAAATTGTATAAGAAAATGGGGGAATAAAATGCATTGATATTGAAATTTGCACTTCCTTATGGCTCCGGCAAATGTTCATAATCAATACAATACCTAAAGTTAGTATAGAAGTACATCTGAAGCTTATCAAAAAACCTGCAAAAATTTTATAGAATATTTAAGTAAATTGCATGAAAAGAAGCTTAACAAATTTAATAAAACGTGCACTTGTGGATATTTTGTTTTTGTTTATTTGTAATTTGCCGACTAAATAGCAACAACAAAAACAATTGACGCCACAAGTTAAGAAATTCGGATTTCTATTTTAATGATGATGACGAAACTCTTTTTTATGGGAACAAAAGATTTCAATGCCCATCATTTGATTTTGAATTGAGACGCGCTGTGAAGAAATTCTCGCACAAGAACAACAAAAAAAACGTGATTTGAATCGAATTTTTTTATGTGCAATGGACGAATTTTATTATTAAGCACTCAGCGCTTAATTGTCGTTTTTAATGAACGTTCTTATCACTTTCATTTCATTGAAATGTGAGCCGTTGTTTTCGTTGTCGGCATTTCGCAAAAGCCTCATTTCTGTGTTTGTTTGTTTTCATATATATTCTCATTGTGGTCGATTGTGTTGAGCAAAAGAATTGAATTAACAAACTTTGCTATTATCACAATTTTATCATCAACATGATCATCGAATCGAATTGAGCATTCACTCATTTAAGAAATAATATCGGTTGTGTGTTTGTTTCTTCACTTTCTCTAAATATTTACAAAATATCAATATCGAAAAGAAACAACAGCAGAAAAGTTGGCGTTGAAATGAGTTCAAATCGAGACCAATAGCCTAGCATAGCTTACCTTTTGTATTCGTCATTTAAAACATATCGGTACGTGACATTAATTGCATAATATAATGCTAAGTATGCTAATAATTCACGCCATATTAGTTTATACAGACTGCCTCGCCACCTGTGCAAAGAGCAAAAGAGATGAAAGTAGTTAAATAAATTCGCAAAATTCTAGTAAAATATCGTCATTGCAAATGCTCAATAAAAATGATGCGGAAAATATTGAAATTGATTGTAATTCCCTAATAATAGAATGAATAAATAATATAATCAAATTCAAGATGCATTCGTTGTTTTTTGCAATATTGAATTGCGTGTTCGTTGCAATTTATGTATTTGCCGCCAAAATCACCTTTTGTGTTAAAAACACAACGACAACAACTGGTAAATTAAGTCATTAGTATCATTATTATCATCGCACATGCCAAAATCGAAGATGATGAACAGCGCAGTGAATGAAAAAAACTCACACACATTGACAATGTGTGAACATAACAATGACTCAATTTATTTGGAATTGCATGACCATAAATGCATGCGAAATCAATGCGCTGAGCAAAAAAAAAACAACAGCAACATATAATCCATATGAAAATCAAGGGGGAAAGAGAGAAAAAAATGTGATGTTGAAAATCTGGAGCCGCGGGCGAGGAGACGGGTAACGTACATGTATTTGTGTTGTAGTCACGAAAATTACATTATAATTGAATTATGTACAATTTTGATGCAAGTGAATGAATCAAGAAATAAACAGTCAAATATTATCGAAATAAATTGGGCTTGACAAAGCGTTTACTTTATCACTTGATGCCACATGAAATCTGGTTGGTGTTTAGTTATTCTTTTTTTTTATACACTTGATGCATGTGTTGGTATGTTTGTTTTGTGTTTTTATTTATCTTCAAGCATCGAATACGGGTTAAACGAACGGCCTATATTTCCAAGCGATAGACATGGTGTCATTATACACCATGCTGGTTACAATCAACATTCTTTTATGCTCATTTAATTGTGAGCACTGCTTTTGTTTTGAGTGTCATAAATATTGCAGTAAATGATAAAATGCACAAAAACGGCCTTGAAACTCCATCAAACTTGTAGTCGAAAGAGTTGAAATAGAGAAGGTGAGATAGAGCGAACGAAAAAAAAATGCCGATTTATTTCGACATTTCTAACATGGGATTTTTTCCATTTCGAGCTATTCGCCCCATTATCGAAATGGCAATAAACTTTGCAAACGAAACCAAGGAAGGAAAGAGAAAATATTGAAGCTTTCGGTTTTGTTTTGTGTGTCATTTCACCCAATTCATCAGTTTACCTTGCTCTCTATCTATTTTTATTTGGATGTTGGTTTTTTCGCACATAAATTTGGATGCCATTAATGTTTGCCTTCTCATCTATTTTCAGTTCGACACTTATAATTGAATCATTTTTTTTGGGGCCAATAGACATGTGTGCAGAGTAGATCACATTTTACCGTTGATGCACGGTAACGGCAATGAAGTTATCAGACCATGTCGACCGGAACTATTTAGTGTACGATATTGGTATGGCTCCAATTTCATTTCATAGGTCAAGTGAATTCGTTGACTCGCCAACAATATCAAAAAATCAATTGATTCACCTCGTATTAATGTAATACAGTGACATTTTTATGTTGTTGATTTTTTTTTTAATACACGCAGACAGCATGGTTTCAACGCATTAATTTCGATGTTGCAAAGTCAAAGAAAAATAAATAAAGAAGATGAGAAGAATGGCGTCAGATGATTCATCGGCTGATATTTTTTTTTAAATGTCGCTTTAAAATGATTTATATCCATGCTGTGGTATGCGCAGACGTTTTGCTTAATAACCGATCTAATCGATGGCGACGAACCTGTTAGATATGTGACTCCATACAAATCAATGGTGTTCATTCAACAAAATGGGTTTAACATTAATTTGCTATTTTCGAACCGGTTTCAGGATATATTACATACTAGAAGCGTACAACAAAAAGCAAAATTGGTTCGAACGAATACCGAATGGTTTAAATTCTTTTCATTTCGAACCAAACCGGCCGAAATGAATGGCTGAAAACATATCACTCGGAATTCGAAATAGAGGAATTCATAGCATACATTTTTGTTTCAAATAAAAAGGGTACATAAGCATTTCAATGTGATCATATGAACTTGATTGCTGCTTAAAATGCATCGTTGTCACAATGTGAATTTAAAATATACCTGCCTTACAATCAACGATCGTTCAAATTAAATTGAACACTAAACACGTATACATTGACCGTTTGATCGATTGTACTTGTGTATACGGTTGGTGTGCGAAGAACGACCAAACAAACCATTCACATCCAATCTAATTTCGAAGAAAACTACTCAACATGTTTGAAGTTTATTGGTAATTTCTGTTGTTGCAATCCATGAATTGTGATAAAAAAAAATTGACAACAACGACGCTGCAAAATGACAACAACCAACAAATGCGTTGATAATAAAAGTCACGTTTTGGCATTATAATTTTTAGTAGCCACAGCCTTGACGCAATTGATATGCTTCGAACATACGGTAGAGAGCATTTAATATGTTATGATGGCCATCGATTTGTTTCGTATTTTATTTGCAATGGCGCCTTAAGCTGTATTATAAATATAAACGGTGATTTTTTTTTTGTTTCGTTATTTGTTCGCTTACATGCGTACCAATTTATTTTTATCAGTCGAACTGAATTGATGATGTGAAATTTTTTTTTTATTGTGCTTGCAATCATTCGCTTCGTTAATATCGAAATGGAAAAATATTTTTAAAAAAATACAACAGAGCAAAGAAAAATTCAATATCACTCATCTCATTACGAGCATTTTCTACGTCAATCCCAATGAAATCTACACACATACACAACAATCAAATATAAAGTTTGCATTGATGTGAACTCGTTCCGTGAAGTGATTTACGGCAAAGATAAATGGATAACAATTGGTGTATACATCGAACATCCGATAGTACACTAATTTCAATAGTTTTTCGATTTTAATGCCACAATTGTGACGAGACGATACAATCAATTATATTTTTACTTTGTCAACTGCATATCATTAGAGATGTGCGTAGCCTATGGCCTCTAGTATTCACTTGTTTGAGAGTGCGCCCGCTCGTAAACACACAAATAACAAATATCCAATAAATAAAGCCAACCACACCGATTTCAATGCACACCGTGCTCAGAATGTATCGTATGGCAGAAAGTATATGACAAAATAATGTTAACTAAACAGTGTTATCATTTCAATGTTAACTAAACATGCTTTGTTTACTTTACCATATATCCGTTTCATTTGCTCAGTTCATCGCTGTTTGTTGTCTCTTTTGTCATTTATCTTTTGTTTTTCTCTCATTGAATTTGAAATGTAATAAAAAAAAGAACAAATTCATCGACACACCGTAGAAAACATCTGATTTTGTTCGATTTATTGTTTTTGTTACCTCAGCGCTCAGGCCATTATCGCGCAATGGATGCATTTCACTGTTTGAGCATATGGTTATTTTGAAACGAATTTTATCTTATTTTGTTTTTCAGTTTTGTCACACTCTTCTTTCTACAAATTACCAGCTCTCGTACCATTTAGCAATCGTACGAAAAATTCCATCGTTTCAGAATAGAAAATAAACAGATTGATTTCTCCTTTTCAACAGAAGTGTGTCGATGTGCAAATATATTCGAATTAGATTAGAAAACAAAAAACATTGTTTATTTTTGCACATCTATAGACATCGGATTTCTCCATTGATTTTCGTTCGTTGTTTCAATTACTTTTTTAAAATTATTTATGAAAGGAATAAAAAATACTTACTTCCATAGAATTTTCCAAAAACATCCAAAACTACTTCCATTTGGCACTTCTCCAGCATATGACACAGTCATTGTTTGATATGTGTGTGTGTTCTTTTAACTATAATTATTAACTATTTTGGAATGAATTTTTTTTTTGTGATCACACTTGAACTTTTGGCTGTTTCGTTTTCGCTTGTTGCGCGCTGTTGAATTTAAAACTATTTGTTTTATCTTATTGTTGATGAATTGCAATTTCCTTGTTGAATTTTTGAATCAATCGATTTTGTTTGTCTCTCTGTTTTTATCACTGTATTTTACTTTTTAATGAGAAAAAAATCATGATGATTAGATGAATTCGAAGTAATCGATGAAAAGAAAATGAAAAGTTCTATCGAAGAGCAAGCCAAAAGAAGGGAAGTTAATTGAATAAAATTTGAAAAATTTAAGGGAGGAACTCAAAAAAGAGAATCATTTTCGGCTCGAAAAAATAGTAAAGACCATACATTTCAAAATAAACTCTGTCTAGTGTAAACTTTGTGTGAGATCCATTTTCAGAAGGCGTGTTAACCTCGACAATGGCACGTGCAATTGTATTGGGGCTGTCGGATTTTGGTCCTCTCTGAGACTTCATTCGTTCAATGCCATAAATTGACATTTTTGTGGATTTTCACTTAAAAACTCAAATTGTTATGGATACAGATACACTGCAAAGAAAAGTGTTATTTTCCAATTATGGTGTATCTCTGCGGTGTTTCTATATCCATAATTTGAGCTTTGGAGTGAAAATCCACGGAAATGTCAAATTATGGCATTGGACAAAAAAGTTCCAGAGAAAAATCAAAATAATTTGATCGGTGCATTGATACATTTTTTAACGATGCATTCCGTTGAACAAATAATGATAACATAATAATAACTTTAATCAAATTAAATCCTGACAATTCATTGCCATTGTGGTTACTTGGTTTTAGATTTTTTTTATGTAATTCGATCTTAGAACCTTTTAATTCTGTATCGTTTGTGGTTTATAGTAGATATTTCGCTCGCTTGCTTTATCTCTCTATGTGTGTGTGTGTGTGTTTATATATCCCGCAATTAATTTTGCCATTCGATTTGGTTGTCAATGAAGCAGAGTAAGAACAAGTTTAATGGATTAAGAATCATGCCGAATAACTTTTCAAAACAGAAAGCAAACGCGAGCAAAAAAAATGCGACAGAAGCTAAGTTGTAGAAACAGCTAGAAACAAAATCATTCTCGTCAATAATAAATCATCCGCGACCAAATCGAATTTGCTTATCGCTATTTCTCTCTCACCTTGTGTGAAACAGTAAATTAAAAAAATGGTTTTGTCTGGCACGATAAACCGAGAGAATGAAAAAAAAAAACACACACAAGTTTTGCCAACAGCACGAACTTTAAAGTGCAACGTGATAACATTCGATTCTTTGGAGCTGGAAAGCAGAAAGTGACAGAGAAAAGAATACAAAGCAAATACGACAAAAAAGCTATGCATTTATAATTGCTGTTGTATGAGATTCTCGATATATACATTTTTGTTTCCATTTGATCTAAGCACATATCTCAAAAAATCAAATAACATTTATAGTCAACGAATTGCTATTCGAAAATATAAATGTCAGGTGATTTCAATTTAAATGCTTTTCGCGTTTGTCTTCGTTTTGGCAATTTTATTTTGTTTTTCGTCTTTTATGTTCAATATTTCTTTTTTTTTTTTTCGTTCGATTTTGATATGTCTTTTATTTGTGTGTGTATGTTTGTGTTTTCTCTTGCGCTTCGTGTTTATGTAAATATCGTTCGGGTGCAACTTCAGCATAAATCATATTTACATTATTTCGTGCTGATTTATTGTCCACACAATTGAAATGTGAGAGGAATGATATTTCGTTGTTGCTAGCTGATTCTTTTTGTGAATGAGTGACTCGCAAACTAAAATGGAGTGAATCCAGAATGAATTGAAAATGCAGTAAATCAGAGATTGAAAGAGAAAAAGAAAGTTTTTGTGTGAGTTTTTTTTTGTGAGGAGAATTATTTTTGTTGTGTTGGCTAATTATTGCGATTTGTCGTGTGCCAAAAAAGTGGCGTTGGCACATGTTTGTTTGTTATTTATTATCTTTCAAAAAGATGAAGCAAAAAAAAAGAGAAGCAAATTTTTTCTGACCAAGAATGCAATGTCAACGCATATTGTGTGCGTAAAGTTGATGTTGTTTTCTCCCTTAAAGAAATATGTGCAATTTATTATTTTTAAATATATCTTATATTCTCATCGTCATTGTTTTTGAATTTATTCATATTTCTTGTTAAATATAACCATTTATTTATAAATATTGAACATATTTTGCTTTTCGTTGATTTGTTTCATTTGCAATTGCAGTCATGTGCAATTTTGTACGATGCATTAAAAGAGTAATCGGGTGTGCGCAAATGCGCGCAAAAATACACTCACACACAGTAAATACGCATAAAAGCACACACACCCGGTATCAACACTTTTGAGTATAGTACCTGTAGTAGGCTATTGATCGAATGTTTTGTACCTGTTATTTATTGACCGAGCTATTTATAAGCAATATTTTAATATTGGCTTTTTCTCCCGTTTTTCACTGTTTTACGTGCTTTTCCTCCAAACACAAAACAAAGGGAACCTTATGTTGTTGCTTTTATTTTATACATATCACACAATATACAATGACGATGTGATTGATTGAGCGAAAGAGTAACTACTATCAAAACTTTGTTTAGCACTTTTTCATTTTGCATACTCTTTTGAGTGTGTTCAGAGCCTCTTTCCCTCTCTCTCTCTCTCTCCCTCCCTTTCTAGTGTTCGTCTTCAAAGTGCAGTGCGATAATAATGAATAATTGTTTGTGTATTTTTTCGATTTAAATTCATCCTTGAATTTCAACACGATGCAATGTAAGCATTCAATAGCGTCAATTGATTGAACTTGATATTGATTGTTAAGATCGTTGAATGGTTTTTCCGTTACGTTTTTTTTTATTTATCGCATCATTATTTGACCATAAATCACCCACTTCTTCAACATTTAGTACACCACACATTCGCCGCAAACACCATACAATGTAGAATGCCGAGGATAATACTCGCATAAAATTCGACACACTTGGAAATGTGCACAGTTCCAAAACTCACCAAAATTGCACTAAAATTAACGCGGAAATTTGATACTGCGTACTGTTTTATTCACTGTTATTGATTTGACTCATGCTCTATGTCTGCATCAATATCTCGACTAATTTTCAAATGGCACACAATTATGTAATGATCAACCACTTCCGATACTGCACAGAAAAAAAAAACGTATATAATAAAACGACGGCAGCGTGACGGCTGCGGTGGCAACGGCAACGATCGTTATAAAATGGCCATTATTTAAATTGCATTGGCGTAAATCGGATGAATTGCTTTTAAATCATCACACTTTTATAAACTGAGAAGTTATCCGCAAAAATGGCAAAAAATACAAAATTTCTTCTTTGTTTATGCTGCTCAAAGCACTAAGACTAATCGCTTCAGTTAGAAATTCGTCAAACAACCGATTCTATTGCGAATAGCAAAAATATCGAAATTTAAATAACTTTTTTGCTCTTTATTATCACATTCAAATCGCATAAAAATCCAAAACACTCCGCTACAAAACACTTGCTAACGAGCAAAACATCGTCAACATTTTAAAATGCGCAAACATTTTTCCATCTGAATTAATTTAAAACTTCAATTTTATGTTTTGCGGAATATTTTTCTACCAAACGATTCATTAGCATTTACTTAATTTCTATGTAATTTATTTTTGTCTCAAAGTTATGTGCGTATAAATTTCAAAAAAAAAATTGATAACAACGATTACAGAAATATTGGTATTTTTGACAATGGAATATAGCGGTAAATGATTTTACATTTAATTTCGATGCACTTTATTGAAGAATTCAAACGAAATGGCCAAAAAATTGTTTTCTCGAAACCGTTTCGTTTAAAGTTAAATTTTAAACCCGTCGCGTCAGATAAAATTTGTGATTTCGAAAAGAGAGAAAGAAAAACTAAACAAAAAAAAATATGATCATTTAAGCACCGTTTTGGTTGGTGTTGCCGTCGTCGTTACGAAGACAGAATCATCAATACTAGTTGCAAAACAGCTTTCCGATAATCATTAAACCTGATGTATTTTTTGAACTGTTTATGATCGGTGTAAGTATGTGTGCATGTTTGTGTACGATCTGTGTGTTTGCTACAAAAATATTGTGATTGTATTTTTTTTCTGCTTCTCTTGTTGTCGTGTCTATCTCTTCTCTCGTCGATTTCCATTTTATTTTTCTCTTTCTCTCTCGCTTCAGCCGCAGTCCTTCTTTGTCGTGTACGTATTTACGTTAATCCAACTGTGCGGCATGGTGTTTGTATCATGGTTTATGTGCAGTTGATTTCGATCACATATGTTGATACTGTGCATGTACAATATATGAGTATTTGTAATATAGGTGCTACTGGCAATTCTGCTGTTTCGTTTCAGGTGTTTCATGTGATCGTGCTTATTTGAATTTTACATCCCACCACAAAAGTCTGCGCGCCTGTATATTCTAGTCGATCGCACGCTACGCAAATACATATTGGCTGCAGTGCCGCACATAATGAAGCATAACACCAATCACTGAAAGAGAGAGAGAGTGAGATGAAAAGAAACATGTACATTAACCCTTAACCGGGCAGATGAAAACACTCACACTATCGGATAGGTGGGACCTCTGAGACCCGGCATACTATTTCCATACAAAATCGATAAGAACCATTTTTTTCTTTTTTTTAATGTTTAATGAATTTATCTAGGGGAGTCTCTCACTTTTCTCAAGCATGAATATTTCAAGATAAAATCGATATTATCGAATAAGTAAGATTTCAAACGATATTTTCAATAAAAACCGATAAAAGCAGTTTAGAGCAATATTTGTCGATTTTTGATGGATATTTCAATGCCAACTTAACCTGCTATACCGACTTGTCATGTTGATTAAGTACTAGATTATGTTATTAAAATTTTCTGTCTTTTTTTCTCAACAACTAAAAAAATACGATATATTTTATCAACTTATTATTAACGATATTGGGGTTTTTTCCCACGAAAAACTCGAATACCAATTTTCACAACAATTAATTAAGAGACCCGGCATTTTCCAGAATAGCTCAAAATGAACAATGAAAAAATTTGCATAAATTCGTGACCCAATCGAGCAAAACGGTCGCACAGAGCCGATGCCAGGGTACAAATACATACATTCGTGGTCTGTGTGTAATGGGTGAACGGCACGTTCTATTATGGGTTGTATTTAATGCATATTTTTGGCAATGCATTGCATAGAATAACGCCAATTTGATGCTCATAACATTAGTGTTTCATATGTGTACGTTTTAGCGAATTACAATAAGATGTTATGTATTTGATTTTGAAAAAATCTTACTACCGGGCCTTAACGGGTTAATGCCAAGTCGGCATCAGTCTAATCATATAAAACATTTTCATGTTAGTCGCTCAAACACTAACAAATTAATTACAAAATTTTACTTCATCTCAAAAAACATTGACGGGATTTTTTATGTGAAAGGGATCTTTAAATCTATATCAGAGCTTATTTTTTATTCTTTTGGAAGAAATGTTATACTTTCACATTCAATGGAAGATTTTTTTCCAGCATTTCATTTGTAAAATTTATAGCATAGCATAACTTTGGGCGATTTATTGGCAAGTTTTCTTCATATTTTCCAGTCTCGTCCAGTCTAATCAAAACGAAAAATACTGGAAAATGGAACGAAATCATAGTAGATTTCCAAATGTCGACCATTCGTCGAAATATCGAGAGAGTCAAAAGCAAATATGAAAAATTATTTATAATCGCACGTTAATTATGAAAGATCATTATCAAATCTACATATAATAATCCAAATATTGAACAAACTATCATTACATTAAAAAAAAAACGTCACTTTTATCGCATTCTGATGTCAAAAGTAAAACTATGTAATTTTTAGATAAGATGCATTTTTTAATATAAAGAAAATGACTGCTACATTAATTTTTTAGGTCGTTAGGCTTCAACGGCAAAGTAATCCATTGGGCCGTTAATGCAATTGCTATATGGCTTGAAAAAACATCGATATTTTTGAAAAAATCTGACACATTTCTTGATCGATTCATTGGAAATGTTAGTCACATTTTTCCAAGAAAATTACATTTTTGTGATCTTACCCGATATGATAGATGCTTGAAAATGCTTGAAATCGATTCTTTGATAAAAATTGAGTACATAGAAGTCATTTTTTTGAATACTTTAACGACGTTCTTTACAATTTTTTATCAGAAAATTTGTCACATTTTCACCAAAATCGAGTTTCCTCTGAGCATGTAGAACTTTTAGCCACCTCAAGCATTTTGATATCGGCACGTTTCAAAAATTGACCCACCCTATTGTAGATTTTAGATGGCGATTCCAACCAATTTAAAAATCATTTATAATTTCAGATTTACAGAATTTCTAAAAGCAAGTCGTACAATTTGGATCGTTGTTGCATAGAATGGAAGTTTTTCCATATTTTATTTGATTTCATATTGCATAATTTTGGGCGTTTCATTCGTAGACGCTAGTTAAAATCGCATTGAAATTAAACATCTGTTTTGCTCAATGATAAGATATTTTATTGATTTGTGTGTGTGCTTTTCTCTAAATTGATACATTGTGTGTGCCAGTTAAGTTAACCTTCACATTATTAAAATCTAATGAACTTTATCTTTTACTAAACAACAATTGGCTTAATTATCTATTTCCAATTCAGAGAATTTACCCAAATGGAAAAAAGTTTAGAGAAAAATTTAACGTTTTGCCTATATCGATTTGAATTCATTTTTTCTAGATCTTGATTACCAGTGAATCCAGTATTTACCGGTTGTTTTTTATTTTATTGTTATTATCTAAAGAATTGTGTGATTATTTTGAAAATGTTAAGAAAAACCGAACCGTATCACCGGAGCTTTTGTTCGTTTTCCATTTCTTTTAAATTTTCTTTAGATTCATCATTCTATAAATCGTTTTTTTGAGGTAGATTGTGTTAATTTTTGAGTTTGTCCGAATTTCAGTAATTTCAAAAATTTTGGCGAAAAATTTTCACTAATTACTTCCAATTCCACATCTCATTTGAAAATGCCAATTCATAAAAGTAAAAAATAAACATACAATAAATTTTCATCCAAATTGACAATATGTTCGAATTGGGTATTATTTGTGTTTTGTCTATTAATACATACCAATTGCTAATCAATTTTGTGTTCAATTAATTTAGATTTAAGGATTTAATCGAAGATCAAAACGCTCGATCGACGAACAATAAGATTTTTTTTTATCTAAATATTATATGCATTGTTTCTTATGTTTCCTCAATTTGATTTCATTTTAATGCTTATCATTTTACATATTATTAATCATATATTTGATAGACCTTATCGATAAGTAGTGCATCGATAAATAAATGTTATATTATTCATATTCCAATATTTCAAATATTTGTTGTTGTCGTCGTCGTCGTCGTCGTCAATTTAGAACAATTTTAAATAGTCGTTTTTCTGCTTTTATTTTAATTGTCGTTGAGGTTGGTCTTGTCTCATGTAATACAGATCTGTGTTGTAAAAAACTTAAAGTACGGATCTACCATTTGATCCCTAGCTGAACTTGTTGCATCAATGCCGCTGACTTTTGCAATTGAACTGTTTCCGAATCGGTGAGAATTTGCTTGACGATATGTGAAACACCATTGGCGGTCAAAACACATGGCAATGACAAATAGACCTCCTCTTTGATTCCATGTTCTCCCTGAAATACGACGATACAAAAAAAAAACGATATAATATTTCAACAACAAAAGAATACTAATCAAAATCAAATCGAATTGGTTTCAAATCATGAATATCATTAATACGTTTCTGATGTTTTTTTCTTGATTTTTTTTTCTCGATTTGAAACCATTCAATAAATGAGAATTGATTAAATTTATCGAAACTAATAAGTTAACTTGAAACATTACAGTTCTACGTTTGTACCTGCTGCAATTAGATTCCATCAAGCATGGACATCGATATGCATAGCGAATTATATATATGTATATTATGATTTTTTTCGCACGATATAAAAAAGGAGATAAATAACAACACGTAGAAATGTATAAATATATATAGGTAAATAAGTAGTGCATATAGAATTATATATGATAGAACAGTGTGCAAACATGGAAATAAAAATTTATCAATTTATTGAATGTTCTAACTAAAAATGGTGTCAAACATTCTCGTATACATACGTTGACCAATGTAGAAACGGCATGAACGTTGTTGGTGTTACGCAAAATGGATGATGCAAGTGATGCGCAACTCAATCCAATGGCCCATGAGGTGTATCCCTTTAGTTTGATAACTTCATAAGCGCTGTTTACAACTTCTGAGTGTAATTCACACCATTTCTCTGTGTCCGAATCGGTGCCAACATCTGGATTCAATTCACGTAATCGCACGCCAGCAACATTAACACCTGACCATACGGGAACTGTATTGCACGCACACGGCACAAGAACGAGAAAATATTTCGTCATCAATCAAATGATATTTGAAACGTGCCAATTCTTACGGAAAACGCCATCATTACTTACTTATTTCGCCGGCTTCACATCGACTTATTACTTTCAAATAAAAGAGTATACTTTTCAAATTATACTTCAACCAAAATCGTAATTATTTTTAATGTCGCAGTATTAATTCGATATAAGTCGTTATTTTATTTAGATGACCTTATTCCGTTTGAATTTGATTTTTAAATGTTATTTATTTATGTAATGCAATCGATTGGAAGCTTTGAAATGAATATGATGAAATTAAAAAAAAAAAACCAAAAGGCTTACCACTAGAGTCACCGTGTTCTCCAATAATCCAGCCATGACATGATGTTGGTGCAATGTTTAAACGTTGACTCATGAGGAAACGGAATCGAGATGAATCCAAATTCGTGCCAGAACCAATGACACGATTCTTTGGCAAACCGCTCAATTTCCAGGCAACATATGTCAAAATATCTACGGGATTTGATACAACGAGTAAAATCGTATTTGGGCTATATTCAACCAATTTTGGGATGATTCCCTTAAAAATGTCTGTATTGCGTTGCACTAAATCCAATCGACTTTCGCCTGGACGCTGACGTGCACCGGCCGTTATGATACACAACCGAGATCCGGCACTTACCGAAAAATCTGCGTACAAGAAAAAAAAAACACACACGATTAGTACATTTTATTCGATTTTGCGAGAAATATCGAAAATTTACACTAAATTATTCGGGTGTTAATTAAATTGTAGTGTGAAAAATGTAAATGGCACCGTTCAAAGTTCAAACAGTTTCTGGTTTAACTATCATTATAAACATACCGGTACTGGCTTGGATTTTTGCATTTTTAATGAATGCAGATCCATGTTGTAGATCCATTAATTCACCTTGAAGCTTGTCTGCGGCAACATCAATCAATGCCAAGTCACTTGAAACATTCTGAAAGTGTTTGATCCAGAAAATGTAATGAATTATATTCAAAAAGGAATATTTTATTTAATTTTGAACGACAAAAACCTGCGTTAAAATACTGAATGCACAAGCCATACCGACTTGGCCAATGCCGACAACGGTCACTTTGTTATTGGATGAGGCATCGCATTCGGCCACTTCCGAAAATAGTTGTTCTTTGATTGATGACATCTAATCAGAAAATAGGATTTAAAAAAATGTTAAGTATTATTGACGAAATATTTTATTATATCGTTATTTTTGCTTTATCTATGATTCATAATTTTAGGAAAACCACAACAAAAGAAGATAAGAAAGATAAGAAAGGAAAAAAAGTGGATTTTGTTCGCACGCTATTGATTCATTGATTCATTCAACAATTATGGAACCATACATATGTACGTTTCAAAGTACGCTATTTATATACGCTTTAACTCTCACGTATTTCGTCATATTCGTCTACGTTACATTTGCGGAGACGCGAGCAACGCGCGTACACAGAAGTAGTATATTGTCGATCCGATTTATGTGAAACTCGTGCTCGGCACCATATCCATGGAACGCATGAACAGATGGCATAGAAAATTTATTTAACCTTGTGTAAGGTCAATCTCACTGAATCAAAACAAGCTCCAGTTTCTTTTTGTTCATGTGGTCACTGTCATCGCCGGAACTTTTTCACATTTCATTGCTACCAAAATGCAACGAAGATAAAATATTCAAACATTGCATCGAAACTAGCGTCTTTTCTTTATTGTAAAGTGAAACGATAGTGTACTTAATTTGAATTGAAAATTGATAATTTCTTATCAATAACATTGATAATGATTTAAATATGCTACAAACTGAACTCATATCAATGTGAAAGATGACAGCAGTTCAAATGCAACTAATATATGTATATTTTTACGAATCTAAATGCAAACCACGTATATATAGAAATTTGAATCATTTCGATTTCACTAATCAATCGGTATTTTTGGCAACAGCTTTTAGGGTCATTGCTCTCAACTGTTGGCTCTTATTTTCGAAACATACATTTAGAATTCCGTTGAATTGTTTTATCAAATAACTTCAAAATAATATAAACTCTGTACTCATTCGATCTTTAATACAGCTTGTAAAAAAATCTTGTAAAATTTTTTCCCCGCCCCCGAATGAATTTCACGAAAGTATTACAAAAATTATTGCAATAAAATACTTACATCTTGTTTATTTGACTGGTCCAAAAGTTGAATAAAAAAAATGTCGTTTGAACTTAGAAAAACACTTGAATATAATAATATTGAAGAAAAAATGTACTGGAAATAATTTGTTATGTGGTTCCTGCTTGAAAGTCAAATCGTTTTTGAAGTAGTATTGTATCGGTTGGCTAGTTTGTATAGAATGACGAATCTGGCTGTAGCTCTAGTATATATATGCACCGGCATTTCATATTTTGAAGGTGACCTTACATCATCCATTCACTCTCTTCATTTCTTTTTGCTTCTCTCACTCAGTGTTTGCTTCCACAAAACATTTTTGTACATGTTCAATTGTTCGTACAAACCAAATGTTTTGACTCTCTTCTTCGCTTTCTCTCACTTTAACGTACTCTCTCATAAACATGAAAGCGTAACAAAAACAATAACATTTTGTTAAATTGAATGACATTTCACTCTCTACCGCTCTCACTCGTACTCTCTCACACAAATACGAAACACTCTCTTTTTCTCTTCCAATGTATGCGCATGTGTGATGAATATATCTTAGGTCGTCAACGCAAATGTGTGTGTTGTACGTATGCCATACGCACAAAAACAAAATTCAAACGTGACTAATGTACTGTACAACTCTTGTCTGGCAACGCAATGGATAAAACATATATGTACATAGAGATATTCGTACATTGATAATTACAACATTCACCGAAATCTTGCAGCGTTGTTGCGTATATATTCAAAATTATCGGTGCACGTGCAGCGGTGACCGTATACTATTGTGTTATTATATATGTTTCGATAACCGTTGTTTGAGTTTTTTGGTTTATAGATTTTAAATTACCGGCGTGCTGATATTATTTATAGAAATCACAACGAACGCAATTATTTGAGTAGGATGAAGTAAAAGTGAGAATATTTATTATCTGAATTTATTGCCATGAAAAAATTGCGTACCAAAACACTGATTGATCTTATGATGCTTAGAAACAGCATATTTTGTATTGAAATACAGAATGTATGCTGAAATCTTATAACAAAATGCGCTCAAATTAATAATACTAGCAATATTGCTCAAAAATGATGTAATTTTTTTGATTTTACATATGATGGTTTAAACCGCGCATTGTCCTATAAAATCGATTCACCAAGAATTCATTGTTAAATGCACGAATACTGATCAATTGAGTTTTACTTCAATTTTCCAATTTTCGTCTTTCTTCAAAAAGATTTTCTTAAGTAAAAAAGAAATGTCTTTTCTATCTATGTTTTAAGAAAAAAACATTTGCCACTTTTATGGCACATACGGTAAAAAAGTAAGAGGTTGCTAATCGCTTGTAGGATCAAAATAGAGCAAAAAGAATAAGAAAAAATCGCACATGAATAGAGATTGTGAAAAGATAGCGATATCAGAATATTTACCCCGTTATTTTGATGAACACAAAAGCACAATTAAGACTTTTATCTGCATTGAAACTATACTAAAAAAAATTATGTGTACACTTTTGAGGCCGTCAATCACAATGCTCGAAAATTAGTGCATGTCACGATGTTTGCATTTTATCAGGATGACGCTGGATTGATGTTCCAGTTTAATCCAACATATCTTCCATCTCTTTTCGTCATCAAAATGACGGTGTGTGTATTTTTTTTTTTTTTTGTAAATGTAAACTCTAAGGATAAAAAATATGACACAAATACCATCAACGAAAAAAGAGATACGAACTTAATGCGAAAGAGTGTGAGCGTAGAAAACGTCTATGCTATAAAGCGGTAAGTAATGAGCTGTAAAACTTATGCACAATGCACCAAGTGGCATGATGACACCGTCATCTCAAAATAGTTGGTCGTTTTTTCTTCTGTTTCTTTGGGTGTCTTAGACGGATTTTTGTGTGTGTATGACAGTGTGATCTCTTTTGACAAAATAAAATTGCTCTTAGTCAGTTTTTAAAGTTTTGTCTTCTTTTTTTAGCCAACTTGCTGCCACAACAGCAGCTTAAAAGCTGTTTGTTTTGATTATAACTCATGATAAGATCCGTCTTTTGGTCTTCTTTGTTAAATCGTACCAATTCCCTATTTTCAGCTGGTGCTTCTTTTTTTTATACTACTCAGATTTGCAGTACGATGCTTATACTATGCAGACGCGGCTTATTAAGGCGAAAAGTAGTGACGAAAAAGAAATTCATATCTTGAAAACTATTAGTCCATATTATACACAAAGTAGTTGTGTTATACACCACAAATTCAATTTCAAACACCATCAGTAAGTGGATGATATGATTCTTGAAAAAGATTCCTTCTAAAAGATATCATTAAGACACTTGTGGCTTACGCCTTTTACGAATTAATCTCACTGTGTCACAAATTTTTGCTCAAACGTAATTCAAGCACATTTTCCGTCGAGCAGAAATTTTCTTCAACTATTTTTTGGCACACTGTCATTACTCCCATGGATGATGACTTTATTGGTATCCCAGGGATTTTTTGTATTCACTCTCAGTTTGTCCTAGCTGTTCAAATTTTATACCGAACAAATGTTTCAATCTAATTTTGACTCCAGTGGTGATCGCAAATCATAAATGCATTAAAAAGAAAATAAAACCAGAGACGAACAAAGTTTCATTTTTTGTTCAAATTTGCTAACTTTCCTCTTCTTCTCCATATGTAGTTCGGCGAATAAGAAATGAAATCATTCGTCATGTGGCTAAGACATCGTGGCCATATTTAATTTGCATAGTTTAATGGAATTAACAAAGAACAACAACAACATCAACATTATCAATAAAATGAAACGAAATCAATATAAACTGTTTTTAAAGTTTCTATTTAACCCTTTGAAATTGTTCGTACTGAATTTGCTGAATTGAGGTGGCTTTGCAATTCATTATTGCGAACACTTTGGGATTCTAATTATGGACCTTGAAATTTAAATCATTTTTGCAGAAATATCAAATATTCATCTTACAAGTGAGATCCATAGCTATAAACTGTACGAAACTATGAACAAAACATAACAATTATACTCATATATTTTCACGGATACGGATATTTATGCTATCCATGGTCCGTTGGGATATGCCAAATAGCATCAAAATCGAAATTTTCAATAAATCCACGTTTCACTCCGAATAAAAAAATTTTTTGTACACTTCCGAAAATAAAATTTTGTACAAGAAGTTCACATCGTTAGCCGCATCTTTTTTTATATGTTCACGCCGCATTTGATATTTACACAAACAACATCTTATGAACAAAAAGATTTCGCAGTGAATGCTTGAAGAGCTGTTGTTGTGTTTAACTGTATTCATATCTGGTTTTTTTTTACTATTTTAATTTGTTGATTTAGTACATATCTACCACAAACAATCTTAACGAATTGCAGAACGCTTTTTATCTATTTTCTCCGAGAAATCAGAATAAAAATGAAATCTTAAATATTTATATGATATTGCCAGTGATGGCATAAATTATCATTCATATTTCATATCGACCAAAGAATTCATATGAAATAACCGAAAACTGTATATTTCTTTGATGAACCATCTTTAATATTTGAAGTCAATGGTAATGTATGTTGGCTCATTGTCGTTATTAATGCGAGTATTCATGGCAAAATAGTTCATTTAATTCAATCTCATGTTTAAAATCGCCCAAATGTAGGCAACCATTTTCATGCCGTATGTGTTCCAATATGAATATTTCCAAAGTTCGATTATAATGTTTGTACAAATGAAAATGACGTTCAAAATCAGCAAATGTTTTATTATACACGCTATTGGAAGATTTTCAGCGAGAAGCATCGATTTAAAAGTGTGACCCGTATTTAAGAAAACGCCAATTTTATTTAAGATTCAACGGCCTTGTTACCTTTGTACACAATAAACAATCATTACCACTGATTGTGTCAGGCACTCAACTATCTGGGATGTGTAATGGCAATGAAAAAGCGAGGAAAAAAAATGACGCAAAGAGATTCTTGGTATAGATTACTTTTGACCGTGCTTTCGATTTAAAGCCAAACTAAGCGAAATCAGTTTGCAATGGTAGTTAGATCCAAAGAAATAAACATTTCAAATAAAAACACGACAGAAAAATCAACGAGTGAAACCGACACAATAACGAATAGTTGAAAATAAAAGGAAAACGGAAAAATCTCAACCTCATATTCCATCGATAGCGGTTTATTTGAGAGAAACAAGTAAGTGTGCTGTTGCCTTCGCCGTTCATATGCAACAAAGAGAATATATGTGATCAAATTGTAAAAAAGTCAACGATAAGAAGATAGCAAAGAATGAACTATTCAAAAAAAAAATCTGCTTGCATTCATAATGACTGTGTATGTGTGTCTGTTGCAAGTATTTGCTTTTTATGTTCCTTTCGTAAATCTTCATTAAGTTGGTGAAAAGAGTGAAAAGATTGAAAGCGTTTATTATTTTGATATGGATAAACTGATACACTATTAAAGCTCCTCTGTGTAAATAAATTAAACGTCAATGTAAATGAACAAAAGAAAACCATATGCGTGCGAAACCGAATTTCGAGATTTCGACGGAAGTCGCGTAATGTGAAATTGTTTCGCAACGCATTTGTTTATCTTCTTGTAAATATGCGAAGCCTGATATTTTGAATGGTGACAGTTTAAACACCTTACACTTATGCTCAATGAATTGATAGCAATTTTCATTTCATTTCCATTTTCATTCATTTCTATCCATTCATTCTGTCACTCTTCATTCACATTTGTTTCTTTTTAATTGGCAACAGCACTTGAATTTCCCGATGATATTTTCTTCTACACAAAAAACAACAACAACAACGGGAAAGAGAAGATAAAAAAAAATGGCAACTTCATCATTAATATTGTTTCGATTTGTTTGCAAGTATTATCCATTTTTCCAATGCATATACACGAATACTGATATGCAATTTCTCAAGCTCCATTGACCTACACACACTCTGCTCACATCGGGGCCGGTCTGATATCACTTTGTACCATTAAGCATTTGTCATTCGCTACAGTTAACCGGCTGTTATCTTTTGAAACTACTACAAAACTAGCACACTTCAGCAATGAATTGGAATAACTACGAATGCAAAATAAAGAAATCGTTTCAATCTTCAACAGTGATAAAGCATCCACTTCAGTTGTCATGCATTTTTCACCATCAATATGTATCAGAGCATATCAGCTCAAGGACATTTTAACTACTTTGTGATTTGTGTGCGCACGATGCAATACTATCATTTATCTTCTTCTGCAACACTTTTTTTTTCTTCGCATTCGACCACATGAGGATGCAGGCAGGAAATTCATATAGAAAACGATCTGATCTGTATCACAGCGGATCGTCCACTTCGTTGCAGTGTTTTCCACA